CAACCGAACTCGCACTAACCATATCTACCAACTATTCGCATTCACATTCAATATCATAAGTTGGTGTAGAGGCTACGTCGTGGGTTCGATTCTCATAACTATAAACTTTTTCAATTATGTTTCCTACTATGTCTAGTCTGCCGTGATGGCGTGTCTGTCTCGTTGAATTATTTATTCCACAGAAAATTCAAATCTCCCGCTACAATGTTCTGAGGTGCAGAAGCGTGCGCTCTGATTTCGCGTGACAGTTTGAGGACGCTACGTGGCAATTTTGTTCACTCTGATTGGTTCGCTGCTGGGTGGAACACCACGTCACAATTTGGTTGACTGTATGCCTTGCTGAGAAGCAACCTGGCTGGTGTGATGACGTCACAGTCTGTCTGTCTCGCTCAATCGAGGGACATCCTACTACGCTAAGGGGAATGCCAATCGACTCAAAATCAAAAGATATGTCGATTCATATACAAGGTAGCTACCTAGCGGGGGTATGCTGAGCCAAATGTTAGCCAACAAGGCTTTTTAAGGAAGTCAGTTGCAAAGCCAAGCTGCAAAATCACTATAGGGCTTTTTGTTTCCAGGACAGTTGAGTGGTTATGCACAGCAACACTGATGAAACCTTGATGGGTCGAAACAGCGATATCTGAAGTTATGACAAGTTCATCGAGCACTTGCCAATTTAAGTTAGAAGTGTGTATACGATTGATATCCGATATCTGTCACGTCCAGCTGGATATAGGTAGACGGACCCTGACAAATCCTGATTCATCCGGATCCGTAGGATTGATTTGATCGTTCGACCAGCTCAAAAGATGACCAAATATTCGGTATCCGTCTCTCTGAGAAATCTTACACTTGGCTGCACAGATGAATTGAAGTCTTCCGTGTTGAACTGAACATAATCATGATTGAAGTTGAGAATATTTCCATTTTTTCTTATGGTCATTCAGAGAGTTGTGTTTGAATCTTCTTATTTTTCAGCAATTCATCATGTTCTGAGGAGAGTCTAGAATAATCAGTTATCGCTACTGTGCTATTGGAAATATGTTCATTCTTGAGTACTATATTCAATAAAATTTGAACATGAACTGAAATTGTTTGATTGACTATACAAACTATATATATTATAATAACTGAAGGATCGTCGATATAGAGTGGTTCGATGGGGCGGAAGAGAAAGTGACCCTTTAAACCTCGAATTTAAAGTATGTACATCGCTACGAAATCTTATTTTGTTATACAAATATGATGGATATTTGTTAATTAATATTTAATGGAAGAGGGTAGCCCAGTGTAAAACACGTATATTTTCCATAGTTAACCAATTGGTTTTCTTGAGTTTATATGAAATACTGTCATATTTTCTAATACCATATACATACCTAAGACATGATTTTTGAACTCTTTCAACTTTAAAAATGTCTTTTTCATCCAGGCATGAACCGTACACAACATCACAATATGCAAAATGACTCAACACAAGGGCATTTGTTGATTTTATTTTCAAACTGATTGATAATAAATGACGATGTGAATAAAGCATTTTCAAAGTCATGTAACTTCTTTGAACACATTTTGTGACATTTTTTGTAAACCTTAAATTCACGTCCATTTCAATACCTGAATTTTTCGCCATGTTCGTGGGGCATATTACTGTATCACCAATAACAATTTCAATATATATTTCCACCAAACTACGCTTAGTACCAAAAACAAGCAGACTAGTTTGAGACTAGTTCAAATTGATTTTGAGGTTATGAGCTTCAGATTCTGAAATAAGACGAGCTAGATCTTCATTCAATTTTTGATTAGCAGTAGCAAAGTCATTAGGGTTAAATGGTAGAAATAGTTGTGTGTCATGCGCATACATATTTGAATTACAATGCCTTAAAACAGAAACTAGATCACAAGTGTACACGCAAAATGATAAGGGTCCAAGTATAGATCCTTGAGGCACTGCTTGATTTTCCTTCTGAAGTTTCTACAAACTGTGAACAATCTTCAAAACAGTTTTTAATTAAATTTATAGCAGGTTCAGAGAATCCGATGAAATTCAAAATTGCAAATTTAATTGGATAACTAATGGTATCGAAAGCCTTGGAGAAGTCTACAAGTATCAAAGCAGTCGTGTTACCTTTGTCTGCAGCTTCGAAAATATCATCAGTTATTTTCAAGAGAGCAGTTGTACAGCTGTGTTCTTTACGAAATCCTGACTGGTTGATTGGTAAAATGTTAAAGGAATTTAAATAGCATTTGATTTGAAAACTCATTATTTTTTCCAATACTTTTGAACAAGTACGTAGCAGGCTTATGGGGCGCAGATCGTTAAGAGTATTTGGATTAGGTGTTTAAGGAAGAGCCGGTATTTCAGAAATCTTTCACATTTCAGGACATATATTATTTTGCAAACATGAATTTATTACCTATATAAGAGAGATATGGTAGTATTATAGGACAGCGAAGAAGTAGCATATCTATATTAATTTCATCTGAACCTATGGCTCTTTTTTTCATTTCTGAAATACATTTCGCACTAGTATTTCTAAAATGCCACAACTCAAAAATCGGTATATTTGAGTTGAGACTATGAAAAAATTGGTAAATATTTCTGTATCAAGTTGTATTAACTGTATCAAGTTGTATTAACATCCAAACTGTATCAACTTGATATAGTTCAGATGATACTGTATCAACTTGATACAGTTTATATGATCGATAAAGAAATATTTATCGATTTTTTTCATATTGATTTTTGAGTTGTATCCCTTTAGAAATACTAGTGCGATTTGTTAACAATATTTTCTGTTATCGTTAAAAATGTTTTGTTCGAGTATAAGAACAGCTGATACAAAATGATACTCTGCATTTTCAATCTCTCGAGATCCATACCACATGGAAAAATATGTAGGGTCATCGCTGGTTGGTCACATAAAGAAATTCAATAAGTAGGAGATTGTATAAGAAGTGAATCAAGTAAGTTGAATTAATTTCACAGTACTGAGTTCAAACTTACCGATCTGTAAAATTTGAACAACTAGCGCGATAAACTGAGAAAATAAGCACTATTCTGAACTCATACAAGTACTGAGAGTAGCACCAGCAATAACATGGCATATGTCTCTTTCCTGATGTGGAGCTGAACCATACAGGATTTCTAACCATTGTCTTAACATACACCAAGCTGGAGTTTGAATCCTTGCCCTTATCGTCGGTAACGAGTCAATAACAAACCGTTATTTTAACACCTCGACACGTGTTTCGATCACCAAGTGATCATCTTCAAGAGGAAGATCAAACTGATCTTCTATGAAGATGTTTTCATTGCGTGGTACCAGTGTAACAGTATTTCGATAAAAACTTCTCCTGTAGATGTACTAGTTTTACTAAATGTTCACAAGGCTACGCAGATCTCCAGATTACTCTGTTGGACTTTTATCTATCTGGATGGTGGATATCGAAAGTCTTGGGGTGCAGCCATCTACTATGGATGACTCATGTGGAGAATTTAATGGTTAGGTCTAAAGTGAGTTGGTCTACTCGTCCCTCCACCGCAACCCGCAAGGGTTTATTGTACGATTTATTGGTGCTCAGTTCGAATATTTGATAGTTTTTTTGTTTAGTTCGAATTCCACTTCGATATTGAATATAAACAACTAAAAAAAAATTGTATGTCATATCTTATCGTTGTAATGTAGACGTTTCGGAGTTAGACACAGAATTGAAAGACTTACTATTTGAAACTTCGTGGGAGGTGGCTGAGTAGGCGGTTGATTCACACGTAGAAATATGTTCTTATGAAAACTGAAGTTGAGGTGTTTCACAACTTTTTTACAGTCTCAATATCTGATAACTTATTCAGTGTGGATCCTTTTAGCTGATATGTACTGTGTGTTAATTTCCTTCAAGCAGAATATGCTCCCTTTGGAAAATGTTATGTGGAGTAAATTAATCCTCCAATACTGTAAGATTTATATTTTATGTCTTATCTTATCCATTATCTTATATAGATAATTAATCAAGACTACTTGTTTGTATTGTTGACATCGTTTGTTACACCTATTAAATATTCAGCTTCTGCGTTTAATTGCTTATTTTTGAAGCATATCAGTTCGTATCGAAATGGGACCATTTATTGCCATTATTACTTTCTATTTCCTTCAAAATGATGAAAAACCCATATGATATTCAATAATTACTACAAGAATTGCAGAAATGAGAAAAAATTACAACATTAATGGCCATTATTAGAAATTTTATTATTTTGTATAAACAAAATAATGGTGTTGGACGCCCATAAATATTTTAAAAATGTTGTATGGGATAGTTGATGAATTGAAGTTGGTGAGTAAACAATTTTAATATTCTTCTGATATCTGTTGAATTTTTCCTTCATCAGAAGATTTACAATTTTTATACTGGTATCGAGAGGTCGATAAACAAAACATTTTTCGAAAATGCTTCAAAAATCATAATTATCGCTCAAAAACTAAATTCGCTCTCAACAATTATTGTTGTCATGTTTCATGTTTTTGAATCGTGACTATACCGAAACAAATTCCGTTTCAGCAGAGCCCGAAATCCAAGTTAGTAGATGAAGATGCGTAAATATTATTGACACTCTTCACTAATAAATGTTAGGTGGAGTTACAGGACAACAGAATCAAAGAAACTTGCGACTTTTCTTCATTTCTCTACAAGGAAAGATTTTACGTCTGAAATGGGGGAAATTTTCGTGTCGTATTCATTGGGAATGTCTAAAAAAATTTTTAAAAATATTGTTTTGAGATAAAAGAAGAAGAAGTATCAGTATCAGTCATAGCATTTCAACAGTTTTCTTATTTAACTGTTCCCTGAAGATGATCACAATGTAGTTCGAAATGTCGACAAAGTTGGAACATTATCATCATCAGGGATACTACAATAAGGATAAAAGACAGTCATATTTATAAAATAATAAGTCAAAAACAACTCACAGTGTATGTGAGGTTATATGACAGGTTGAATGAAATATGGACGTCAGTAATCTTTTTGTTCATCAGGACTTTGGAGAGGAATTAACCAAAGCTGCTACTGAGGGGCATGACATTTGCACAGATATCACTGGTGCAACTGATGACATGATAAAACAGGTCCGCAGCGGTAATTTTATCGAAGACGAAAAAATGAAGGTGAGTGGGTATATTTCAAGGTTTCTATCTGTATTTCATATGAAATGTTTGATGAAAACAGCTAAAATTGCAAAAAACATGACAAAAACCAACCATGTTTTGAAAAACTTCAACAATTTGTATCTCGAAAACCAATGATTTCTCAATAAACTTTTTGTAGGAGAAAGTTAGTTGTTCATCTTAACAAGATTCACCACATACTTAGTTCTTATAATGGTCTCAGCAACCTCATCAAGGGAGCTAAGTAATATGCATCAATATAGAAAATTGTAAATATCTCGAAAACGATTACCTCCAGCGTTGTTAAGGAAGTGTATCTTTTTTACTTGGAAGAAGGGTGGGAATAAGTTTTATTCATGAAAAGTACTAGATGTTACATGAACATTATTACAAAAGTATGATTTGACACATCGAAAAAACCCCGGGTTCTAAATTCCGTGAAAATAACTTCATTTTTTGCAGAAGTCATTATTAAAAAACGACCAAAATGTTCTATTTCAAAACCCTGTATATCCATAATGAAGCATTTATTTTATTTTTTCTTATTATGCTATGTACTGGACCTACCACAAATAGATTAATACTCTGTAATGTGGCTGAATGAATAAATACATTGAATGAATATGAATAAATAAATACATTTATGGTTGCTTGAAGAATTTCAATGTACTTCTATACTTCTATACAGGTGTAACAGAAGTACGTTGAAATAATCAAGTGACTATAGATGCTTCATTTCGGAGATACAGTGTGTTGAAATGGCAGCTTTATGCTGCAGAGGAAAACTGAGAATATAGTTCGCTCTTCTGTTGATGTCGAAGCCTGGTTTTGTACCTCACCATTTGGGTAGGCCTTATTTATCATTCGCGCTTCAAGTTCTTCGTCGATTCCATATAGAGCGTTTTCACAATGGAATCAATCATACCATGTGATGGTGAACCTTGGAGATTCTTTGATCCTGCGGTCATAAAAACAAATATCAATTTTCTATTTTTGAAAGTGGAAAAGTGTCAACCGACTTCACGTGATAAACTTTGGTATTACACCAAATTCGACAATTTTGTTTGTTCACGTACCAGTTCATCCAGAAATGCACCTCTTCGCTGAAGATGATTTTTCTATGGAGATTAGGGTCAGTTACCAACTGCTCTAGAATCCATTCAGCTACCACAAGTCGTCTATGGTCGTTTACCTTCAGTTCCTGAATCAGTTGAATTTTAAAAGCGTATCGGTCAAAGTTACGACCCAAAATTCGCCAAGTTATGGTCTCTAAAAGGGCGACTTCATATAAGCGACGCACAATCGACTGTCTCGGATTCTCCTGCACACTCTCGCATCTTGATCTTACGTTTTGTCAAAGTTGGGTGTTGAAAGATGGTTTTCTGCCAAATTTGTTCACCGTTGTGGGCTCAAATTTGTTCACCGTATTCCAGATAGTTCTCTTGGTAGGACGATTATGGTGACCGTTAAAGGGGCGTAGCGCGCTGTACGTTGTCCAAACGGAACACCGATTTTGGTAAAATAATTTTATTATTTGCAGGTGTTGTTGAACGCCATATCCATCCATGTTGACTCGGCAAAATACTGAATGAATGACAACTAATTTGGCAGATGTAGCTTCAAAAAGATCCTTGTTGGAAGACTCATTAGAAAGTATCACAATCGATGTATTTATAATCATAAAGTTAAAACAACACCAATAGAAATAAACTCATCAAACTGACGCAAACACAACCCACTGCATTTTTATAGTTCCAGCTAACATTCTTTAACTAACATTCGTTTAATTTGATGTTCATCGAAATGGTAGCTGCTGATTCCAAAACAAGCTTTGCTCCTAATCACCAGAACTGCAACAATCGTCTTGACGTTTCTACTGTATCTACTGAAGAGGCCAACTTGCTTGATGAAATGTCCGTTAAAAAATGGTATATCTGGTGTTTTGGAGTAGTGCTTTTTTGCATTCATTCTATGCCAGAGATTCCAGTTATACTTCCACAATTGATGATTTTCTAATGTTTCAGAGGTACGTGCTGTGTCTGTGGCGAGCTTCCAGATTTGTGAGTATCAGCTTGAATGATGTATATATAGTAAGCTAGACCATCTATGGAATTATTACATACGTTACTACTAATTATTATAATAATTCATATGATGTCTCATGAATTTCCAAATTTTTCAAATAACCCGATGAAGAATTCAAAACAAACACTGTTCTCAAGCACCTAAAGTGTTATATTATTTTCGACACGCGTTCAACCTACTAAGTTAGCGTCATACGTTCAGGAATTATACGTTACATAGTCCGGTCAATTTAGACATTCGAAGCCACCTAAATTCCCACCAAGCTGAAAATCAGTGAGATTGATTAAAATATGATTGAAAATTGAGTTTGGAAGTTTCCCATCTTTCTCTTGTATGGAAAAAAAACTGAACGTCAGTGGTTCGCAGTTGGCCGCATCATTTTAAGTTAAATTTAAAGCACAAACAAGTGCCGAAGTTAAACTTCATTGAACCTTTTCGAAAAAAAAGTTTCCCATATGGTGCGCACTTTGATGGTAACACTGTATATTACAACTATAGAGATGAATACACGTGGCGTACTCATGCATATTATGACGTTTACAACTTTTACAACTTTTTGAATCGTTATATCTCAAAAACGCTGGCTCCTAGGAAAAAAGTTATGTAAACATTTTTTGTAGATAATTTTATGATACATAATTTTTGTCAAAAGTATTTTCATGATTAAACTCACTGTTTTGCGAAAAACTCATTTTTTTGACCTTTGTCCTTGAATAAAATTTTTTCATACAGGAGAAAAATGGAAAACTTCTGAATTTTATTTTTAATCATATTTTAAACAATTTTACTGATTTTCATCTTGGTAGGAAATCAGGTAGCTTTACTCTTATTTTCTGGTCTAATTTGACCGGACTATACATTTCAGATGCGATTCAGCAAACAACGCTGCTTGTTTGAAAAGAAAAGAAGTGAACTGAGGCTCACGAAATATTTTCGAAAAATATCATTTCATAACAAAGAACTGAATAAAAAATGGAATCAAGCAAATTAAGAGTCCCAATCTCTCTTTGTTTCAATCATCTTGTTATTTTTTGGCACGATTTAAATTGTTTTAGGCGGATAGAAATTTGAAAATCAATGTTGAAGCCATCCGCCAAGTACTGCCTCATATGATGAAGAAGCATTTTCCTAGTAAGGCAAGAGACTGTATCGTACAAGCCAGAAATTCAGGTAAAATATACTGAGAGTAGATATTTTTCAAAACTAGGTGGCTAAAAATAATTGGTAATAAATTTCTTTTACAGATCTGAAGGAAAATTATGACAAGACCTACGAAGTAATGAAATGCCTATATAATTTGGATCCAGAGGTGAGGCATCATTATTTTTTCAATTTCAATCAGTTGGAATGGATTTATACCTATGAGATAAAGAGACTGCAAATTTATATCTTACAAAGGAATTCCTAAAAGTATCCGGCCCAACAAAGAAAACACAAACATTTTTGGAAAAAATGTATTTATTTTTCAACATAATCTCCTCCATGCAGCTCTATACACTTTTCCCAAAGACGTTGAAAGTTCGATACTGCGAATCATTTACATAAATTAAGAAGTAGGTGGGTCCCGAAATTGAACCTTGAGGGACACCAATATCTATGGGTCTCGAATATGAAACGAAATTGTCATATATAACATGTTGATATCTAGCACTCACGTATGAGGCAAACAGCCTGGTTAGGTTCTTCTACACCCCTACCGATCCATCGATTTGGATAGACTGTGTTAAGGAATTCCCTGGCTACAACGCTAAAATGGGCCGAAGCCCCATCATGCATAAACCACATGCGGATACGAATTTCTAATGGTACATTCTGAAGTAGTCCCGGCAATTAATTTTCTAAAAAGTGTCTCCGCCATTCAGTCGGAGCGGAAGAAAGAAAGGACGTACCAAGTAATTATCAATTATTGCCGCCCATACATTTACAGAAAATTGATACTGATAATAATGCCTTTCACTAACTGCGTGCGGATTTTGGAGAGCCCAAACATGGTTGTCATGAAAGTTTGTGATAGCATTTCGGGAGAAGTTTGCCTCGTCCGTGAAGAGTACATATCTTAAATATTGAGGACTTCCAGCCAATTTTCTCAAAAACCATTGACACATAGTAATGCGTTGGGGAAAGTCTCGTGGCAAAAGAGCTTGTTCCCTTTGAATATGGTATGGATAAAACTGTTGATCGTGGATAATTCTCCAAACTGTGAACTGAGTAGAATTGACAGCTTTAGCAATTACTCTTGTGCTTGTTTCTGGATTCTCCTCGAGAGCGTTCAAAACAGCTTCTTCCAATTCTGGGGTTCGGACTGCTCATGGTCTTTCAATAATATCAGCTGCCCTCTTAAAGCTACGAATCACCCTGTATAATTCTCTATATTTTCTTCATCACCCTATTTATGCAAAGAAATAAATTGCGCTATCTTGAATTTTAAGGGAAATATTCCTTGTTGAATCGACATATTTATTAGGTAAGTTAGAAGTGTAAGTCCACCGTGTTGAATTGAAAGTAATAAGGATTAAAGTTGAGAATGTTTCCATTTTTCCTCATTGCTACCGAGGAGGTTGTAACTGGATATTTTCATTTTCCAGGGATTCATCATGTTTTAAGAAGAGTCTTGGATGAATGATCAGTCATCGCTACTGTGCTATTGGAAATATGTTCATTCTTGAGTACTATATTCAATAAATTTTGAACATGAACTAAAATTGTTTGATTGCCTAGAAAACTATTTGGAGATCAATAGTTTCTGAATTCTGAGAAATATTGGTCACCGATTTACACCAATTCTGAGTAAAATATTGAAGTCAAACTATAAAAGAAGATTTTGAATATTTGAGGGTACTTCGTTGAATATTCATCAGATATAATGAAAGCGTTTGGGAAATAGCTTTCTAGGCTGGAATACACGCAGTGTTTGAGTCAGTTTGTTTTCGTGAGAAAGGTTTAGTTTGAGAAGAGGCTACCAAGGGATCTCGTACCACATATGAAAGTGGATCGAGTATGGTAAATTCATAGATAAATGCCAGTCTGGAAATAAGGGTAATCATATCATCCATAGGCGAAACCAGTCACAGCTAGAGCTGGCAAGGGGTGTCCACAAGGAGAGGTTTTATCGCCCCTACTGTGGGCTATCCTAGTGGACGAACTACTGATGAGGCTAATTTTAGGCTAATTTTAGGCCAATTGCTTTGCTACCCGTCTTGTCTAAAATTATAGAAAAACTGGTAAAAAAACGAGTAATATCCTTCCTCGAGAAAAACAAGGTGATAAATTTATTCCAATTTGGCTTTCAGTCTTCAAAAGGTACACAAGACGCCATATTTTCACTCATGGAAAACCTGTACACCAATCTGAATGACAGAGAATCTGCGGCGGCCATGTTTTGTGACCTAACCAAAGCCTTCGATTGTGTAGACCACATGCTGCTTCTTCGCAAGCTGGAAGTTTACGGATTTAGAGGATCGGCANTATACTCTGCTCCGGTGTTTAAGCAATATTTTATAGTTTATATTTCTTAATTGTCCCTTATACATGTTTTACTTCACTAGACTTTGCCAATAAGATGTTTATATCTTGGGTAATAAAGCATATTTTGATTTGATTTGATTGATTTGATTTGAGGCTAAAATCCAAAGGCATGCATTGTTTAGGATATGCCGATGACCTCGCGATTATCGCAAGAGGCAAATTCGCAAGAGCTGTTTCGGAGCACACACAAACGGCTCTAAACATAATAAATAAATGGTGCCAGGAGGAGGAACTAACAGTGAAACCTCTCAAAACTACACTAGTAGTCTTTACAAAAAAGAAAGTACTTAGAGGGCTGAAGCTACCAATACTGCACGGGGTAGAAATTCCAATTGCATAAGAGGCAAAATAATTGGGAGTCATTTTTGACCACAAGTTGACATGAAATCAACACCTACAAAAAAATAATCCAAAGAAGCACGATAACCTTAGAAGTCTTGCTGAACCTAACGCCACTACATCTATATATTCAAGGGGAAGCCAGGGCAGTCATCAGTAGACTGAACAGAGAGCAGATTCCTATAAGCATGCTGTACGGTTAGAGGTACAACGAGCTAAACAAAGAGTTGGAAAACGACCCCATAATGGGAATGCCAACGGATGAGATGCTTCCCCAGTTTAGCTTCGGAAAAAACTTTAAAACAATTATAACAAACAGAGAGGCATGGAAGGGAGGACCTCCAATTAATGCAGAGATTGCCTGTTACACAGACGGCTCAAAAACTGAAGAAGGTGTAGGAGCTGGAATCTATATAACTAAACCAAAGACAAGCTTAGGTAAAAAAGTGACGATGTTCCAGGCAGAAACAGCAGCAATACGTCACTGCGCAGAAGAGTTACTAAGGCAAGAGTTTAAGGAAAAGACTATTGCAATATACTATGCTAGCAAAGCAGCTATAATAGTTATTTATGTATCAAGGGAATTAGGAGGGCCTTAATTACCGATGGCAAAGTTTGCGTCCCGAGGGCCTCTGGCCCGAGGGACAGCACTATCAATGTTCATTATGTAGAATTATATATTTACGTTTACTTAATATTCATAAATTCATGTACTTATATTTGTAGCTGTTCAGCTGGACTTAATATTGTTCTGTCCATATACTCTGCTCCGGTGTTTAAGCAATATTTTATAGTTTATATTTCTTAATTGTCCCTTATACATGTTTTACTTTACTAGACTTTGCCAATAAGATGTTTATATCTTGGGTAATAAAGCATATTTTGATTTGATTTGATTGATTTGATTTGAGGCTAAAATCCAAAGGCATGCATTGTTTAGGACATGCCGATGACCTCGCGATTATCGCAAGAGGCAAATTCGCAAGAGCTGTTTCGGAGCACACACAAACGGCTCTAAACATAATAAATAAATGGTGCCAGGAGGAGGAACTAACAGTGAAACCTCTCAAAACTACACTAGTAGTCTTTACAAAAAAGAAAGTACTTAGAGGGCTGAAGCCACCAATACTGCACGGGGTAGAAATTCCAATTGCATAAGAGGCAAAAGTCATTTTTGACCACAAGTTGACATGAAATCAACACCTACAGAAAATAATCCAAAGAAGCACGATAGCCTTCAACTTGTGTAGAATAATGTGCGGAAAAAATTGGGGTTTACAACCAAAAATGACCATATGTCTATATACCAGGGTTATCTTACCCATGATAGCATATGGCTCGGTGGTATGGTGGCCAAAGATTCAGCAGGCTGAGGTAAGAGGTACAACAAGCTAAACAAAGAGTTGGAAAACGACCCCATAATGGGAATGCCATCGGATGAGATGCTTCCCCAGTATAGCTTCGGAAAAAACTTTAAAACAATTATAACAAGCAGAGAGGCATGGAAGGGAGGACCTTGCAGAGATTGCCTGTTACACAGACGGCTCAAAAAGTGAGGAAGATATAGGAGCTGGAATATATATAACTAAACCAAAGACAAAAGTCTCATTATGCTCAGGTAAAAAAGTGACGATGTTCCAGGCAGAAACAGCAACAATACGTCACTGCGCAGAAGAGTTACTAAGGCAAGAGTTTACTCTGATAGCCATGCAGCTATAAAAGCAATTAGCTCCATGCAGGTCAATTCCAAACTGGTCTGGAACTGCCTAGAAAAGCTACAAGAGCTAGGTAGTCAAAACAGACTGTCACTAGCCTATGTACCAGGCCACACAGGATACAAGGGCAACGAAGAGGCTGATTCATTAGCACGAGAAGGAGCACGACGCTCCCCCATTGGCCCAGAACCCTTTTGTGGTACAGCAAAAGCGCTGCGAAAAACTTGTAACAGCAACTGGAAGGAAAAACAATCTCAAAAATGGTGGAATAAGACGCCGGGTATGAGACAGGCCAGAGAGTTCAATAAAGAGCCATCGCCTAAATTCACGGAGTACCTACTAAGTCTGAATAGGCGATCAACTAGAGTTCTGGTCGGACACTGTAGACTCAACAAACACATGAACAACGTCGAACTGGCAGACACATCCCTATGCAGGCTTTGCCAAGAGGATGAGGAAACCTTCGTACACATACTATGCTATTGCGAAGGTCTGCAACATTGGGGGAGGAAAAACCACAACCCTCTCAATGTATGGGGAACTTGAGGTCTGGCCTCAAGCCTGGAGTCTAGTTACAAGGACGGGCCTAGACAAGGAACTCTAGCATACATGAAGGCACACACAATAGATCTGCAAAGGTCGCAGTGTGGTGGCTGTTCAGCACAGAAGCCCCATAATAATCTAATCTAATGGTAAATTCATTCCACAGTTCAAAGTTGAAGCTTGCCGGCATGTGAAAATAAGCTGAGAAACTGAGCACTATTCCATGCTTATACTGAGAGCAGCACCAGAAATAATATGACATTTGCCTCATCACTGACGCTGGGCAGAACCATATATGATTTCTGACCGTTGTCTTGATATACACCAGACTGGAGTTTGACTACTTGCCCTCAGCATGGGCTACAAGCGGAACACAATTAGTATTTGGCTTTTCACTTCTCCATTCCATACAAAAAAACTGGATAGAAAAAAGTGTTTCTTGTATAATCAATTGTTCATATTGAAAAAATTGTTTCAAAAGTATTGTTTTATGTTAAATCATGAAGACATTCCAGTTCTTCCTCTAAATGCTCTGGTTCACATATTTTTCGAGCGTGAAGGTTTCCGTGTGCGTGGGTTTCCGAAATACCTTGTGGGCTAGTCGATCTGGTGCTAGACTAGTTAGTGCTGGACTAACCCACAAAGTGTACTGAAAACCTACGCCCACGGATGGATACCTACACGCACTATCAAACCACCATTCTGATCGAAAGAGAGGAGTCATCTCTACTCTAACTGAAGGGACTTGAAGAACCATAGCATCTAGAGAAAGAACTGGAACATCTTCAAGAGACCTTGAGATCGGATACATGTATCCGCGATCAACAAAGACATGGAACTGAAGAGCTCTACGGCTTAGAACGGAGAGAAGACTCAGATGGTTGCACGCGCGTATCTACCTTACGTCGTTAGGGTTACAGACATAATTGGAAATCTCTTGGTGAAACACAACATTTCCAAGAAGATACAACAAAATATCAGGTCAGCTGAAGACAAAATAGACCCACTATCAGCAGCAAGGGTATATTGCATATCGTGCACTTGTGGGAAGGCATACAGTCCGTTTCTTTTATCATGTGGTAACATTGCTATATTCTAAAACATAACAGATACGAAAACGATTTAAAAGGAAAAAAGGTCGCTGTCATTGGGAATAATACGATGGTCGAAGAAAGTTTACGGGAACTCTCGCCCTTCTCGAGTAATACGGGGAAAATCAAAAATGCTGTTTTTATTTTTACGAATGAAATTATTATTTCGGTGAATATTGAAAAATGGAAAACGAAAATGTTATTGTATTAGAAGTGTACTAGGACTATGTGATAATGAATATTTCATTAAATGTTCCGTGTCAACATAGCCACAATAATTTTTTTCAAATACGGACCTGTCCATTTTATTACAGATATTGATAAAGCGATAGATTCACAATCCAAGGGTATATCACATTTGATATTTTTAAAATGTTTCATTTGAAATAACAACCATCATCAGTGACAACAATCAAAAAGAAAAACAGAACTTTTGGGAAGAATACGAAATAAATATAGTTCGAAAAACTAAATGAATATAGTTTAAAAAACACGCTTTTAAAGAACATCGAAATAAAAATTTGAAAATATTTTTTTAAATAAGCTTAGAACAAAAAATATGAAAAAAAGCACAAATGCTTTTTTCACAATAATACTAATATTTTCGATCGTTATTGATTTAAGCTTGTTTTAAAAAAATATATTTTTAACTTTTTAGTTCGATGTTGAATATTACTGGAGTTCTTTCCCAACACCAAATCGTTATTTTCAATACCTCGACACGTGTTTCGATCACCAAGTGATCATCTTCAAGAGGAATATTATTCTGATCACTTGGTACGTATCGTATCGTATCGAGGTGTTGAAAATAACGTTAATAATAACATCCTTAGCTCGATGTTCTTCAAAAGTGTGTTTTTTAAACTATATTTATTTTTCATTTCTTAGTTTCGTATGCTGTAAAATCGTGTTTTTCAGTGTTTTCAAACTATATTTATTTTATCTAAACTTTTAGATCAATCAGAAGTATATCGTTCAGAAGAATGACCATTAATATTTTTCAATTTCGGAGAGGGAGCCTGAGGATCAGCTACCAAGCCGAAGGCAGCAGGCGAGCATAGGAGGGTTACAAATAAAGCGGCAGGCGCGCGTGGTAATGAAAAAATACTTTTTTCAAATGAAGAAATACATGTACAGTGAGTTCGAATTATACCAAGGAGGTTTCGTACAGCGCCATCTGCCCGCGAGTAGATCAAGCACTAATGTCAATATATCAAGGTTTCGTTCAACGCCATCTACCCGCGAGTAGATCAAGCAAGGAGAGTTGCAAACAAACATACATACATACAGGTTAAGCTAATAAAAGCGTGTTGAAATTAAAAAATCAAAGCTACTCAACAATCCACATTAAATGCACTTATGATGCACTGTTTGGAACCTTTGGTGTAGTAATTATTATTACAGGAGTTTTTTCCCAACACCAAATCGTTATTTATAACACCTCGACACGTGTTTCGATCACCAAGTGATCATCTTCAATGAGGAAGACTAATCCTATTTATGCTATAATGCTATAAAGGTAACCCATACAGGTAAACCATCCAGGCGTACCAACCATATAGGTATACCAACCTAAATTAATTTTACAACTTTGTCTTATCTATTACTTTACAATATATGTTTATATAAAACAATTTTCAGCTATATAAAAATTAATTTCACAATATTGCCCATCCAAATTTATTTCTGCTATGTGTCCTTATGTAGTAATCAGTAAACCCAACAACATTATTTTATTTTATTTTAACAAGCTATACCTATAGTATGCTCTTTGATATAGGTCAGTCATCGTTATTCATAATATTATTGTGTTTACTTATTTCTACACTCTCATAGGCATCTAGTTGCCTGTTGTTGTTTACTTGTCTAACTAATCTTAATGGACTGAAGTCTATGGAATGGTTTTGTTGCAAAATATGATTGGCGACTGCTGATTTTTCAGGTCTTCCATATTTTAAGTGTCCTATGTGTTCCTTATATCTCAATTCAATAGATCTTTTTGTCTGTCCATAATATTTTGCATCGCAGTCCTTACATTCAATTTCGTAAATTCCAGACTTTTCCGAATTCTCGACTTTGTCTTTTGGACTTTCCAAAAGGCTGAGATGTATATACATCTCAGTTCCATACCACCAATATACGAGGAACTTTGGGAAGATTTTCAAGGAACCAGGTATGTTTTTCAGGTATAAAGGAATAAATGAGGATTCATATCGTACTTATGAAGGATCCTGAAAATATATGTACCACCTTTTCTCGAGATAACTTAGTGAGAGACTGCAAATTTTCCATTAGTCCAACGTGCCCTGAAACTGCAGTACAAATAGTTTCATTGTTGACAACTCCTGAACGGTTATGCTTTTCATTGTTAACAGATCCAGTTCCCATAAATGTGTTCAATAATTCCGAAACTTATTGTGTCGTTCATTCCTTCTTGGATGATTATCATTGAACATCTGGGCAGCCGCTCTAGCACTATTTCCAGTCTGTTAGTATACAAACTCACTATTTCAATCCGTTCTCGAAGCGTATAAACCATTGCTTCTCAAGAATTCACAAAAACAGAAACACCAATTGTAACTGTAGCTTCATCTGGTAGGTAATCGTTATTGTAGAATGAGACAAATATAAAATGAAAAACTCAACAAGGCAAAATAAGACTTTTTTGAAGTATACTTCACAAAAATACTTATGAAACCAAGGTAACAGATTTTACAGAAGTTCATTCAGGGTGGCTCGTTTTCAACTCAAATAATTTTTAGCTTCCAAACTTTGAGTTGGAAGCTAATGGGAAACAATATAGGGTGATCCATTAAAAAAACATTGTGAACAGGTCAAAATCTGTCCCCCTGTATACTATGACGTGTTTTTCCATTTTTCCTGCAAATCATTGTACCAAAAGTTATTTATTTAAGGTGACACATTTTAAATGACAATCAACTTTTCGAAGGCTGAAATATTATGTTGTAGACGTGTAATATAAAAAGGATTTTTAAATATTTCAACTTACGTACTCCTGTTCTATCTAATAGATTTTCTCTTAGTCTGTTTTTTGACGATATGGCACTGATGATAACAATGATTCCAATTTTTGGTATTGTCTGCATCCAGCTTGAGTCCCGCCCAACAAAACTACTTGGCTGTTTTTTATAATTGCCCATATTTCACAATATATCAGTTTTTATCGAAATGGGGTCAGTTATGGTTATTATAGCTCTGAAACTGACTCTAAACATGAAAATAATTTGAATTTAGTTGATGAATAGCAAAGTAATTGCAAAACCATAAAAAATATCATCATTTATGACTATTTTAAAAATTAATAAACAAAATAATGACGTTGAATGAGTATAAATACTTCATTGAGAGTATTGTGTGGGTATAGTCTGTGAATTGAAGCAGGTGAGTAAATATGTTCAACTTATATGGAAGTATTCAAAAACAATATCTTACAGACATTATTTTTCTCAAAAATTCAACTTCTATATCTTCATTGAACAAGCTACATCCACTTATAGAGCTGAACGAATTTTTGGCATACGAATATCTCAAATTTATGAGTCAATGTACCGCAGACGGTTAGAACTAGAACCTTTGTTGTGGAAAGAATCTATAGAATTACTACCCAGAAACAACTGAACTGTAAAGCTTTCCTCAGTGCTTGTTTCAGTTGAGTTGAGAAACGTTAGTTCAATTTTTACTGTGTGAGAGGGCGCAGGTCGATTGATTGAAATACATCAACATACAGTTTTCTGTTTCAACAAGAAAAACTTTGCTCTTCTTTGAAGTTCTCAACTTTATCGAGTCTATCGTAAGTGTATCACAAAAGTAGACTCTTAGAATATCCAACATGGAATAAATGTTCCATTAGATAGCTTTTTGAAGCCTTTGAAAAGCAAAAAATCCATTGGAGCCGGCTTGTTTTGCTTTCGTCCGGAAATATTTGTGAACAGCTTTCCAAGTTGGATCTGATATATTTTTGAAAATAAGGAGGGCCTAAAATGTTGATTATTTCAAATATGAATGCCATTGTTAGATATAGAAGTCTATGTATTACAAAAAATATTGTAATGAATGCGACACGATGTTATTGGGAATATGGCAAGTTGTTCTAGATTTTTTGTTTCATTTCTGAATTCTTCAATTTCTGTAGTTCAGAAGATTTATTCGAGTTGTGGGGATATAGACCTGAGGAACTGAAATTGTTGGAATTTTTTCATTATTTCTGTCTCTTCTAGAAAATTCATAGTTCATAGTTAAAACCATAGCCTAAGCCATCATTAGGTTCAACTGCAATTCATTCATTTCCATATATTCATCAACTTTCTTTGATACTTCATGGATTTAGAATAGTTGCATAACTACATGCGAGTGGGGTATCATCTGCATGAATAAATTATAAATAATAGTGGTCCTAAAAACCTTCCTCGTGGTACATCAACGAGATTCTTTTTTTCACCGGAAAAAGCCTTCCATCTTCACTTCCTCCTATACCCTTTTACTTTCATCAACCATGAATTCCTAACTATAGTCTCAAACGCTATCTTCAGGATCAGAAAAGTGTTACAAGCACTCCAATTAATAATTTCAATTGCATTCATTTTTTGCAAAGTTGTTTGACTCCACAAAAAACAAATGTATTGCAGAAATGTAGATTAAAAACTTTTACTATTTTACAGATAACTCCTTTCCAGTTTGGATGATTAAAATGAACACCATCACACTAGTTTCATTTTTGGCTCTGTGTTTCTACTCAGCATATGCCTATCTGGATCCAAAGGTGAATTGATTTTATATTTGTTTCTACAGCCCCCCCGAGAAAGTACATTTTTGACACAAAGTCTTCCAGAATGAAGATAATTTCGAATATTCATCAAAATTCAATATCGAAGATTGCTATCCTGCTAGACTGTTTCCCAAAAAAACTCGTTGAAAATGGTTTTCACTGAATAAATGGAAAACCGTCGATATAAAGTGCACGAGAAATATCCTCGATATATTAAATGAATTCATTTTGTTTTTTAATACGATGGTGAATTGGTATATTATTATNAAGCTTGACTCAAAAGCTTGGAACATTGTTCCGAACCAGAAAACAATTTGTTCATCTACACGTGTTGTTGAATGCTTTATCTATTCAAGGTGATATGGCAAAACAGACTGAATGAATGACAATCTCAACAAAATGGCCGTTTTCAATTGCCAAAGTTTGGAAAATTTGTTATTACTCAGAAAAATTTATGAAAATTTTCTGATATTATATTAAATTCTCAAAAGCGAAAACAAAGTTTTCATTCGAGGACCAAGGAAAACTATTGACTTTGTAATTATCATTTTTCAGAAATATGGTGAGAAATTGAGTAAGAAAGGTAATGAGTGGCACGACATTTGTACTGATGTGACTGGCGCGACGGATGAAATGATAAGACAGGTCCGAGATGGTAATTTTATCGAAGAAGAAAAAATGAAGGTATGGCCAATTCTTCAGATCTATATACAAGTCGAAAAAGCAAGGGGGGAGGCTCCCCTCATCCCCCCATGGCGACGGCCCTGTTCTGACGGTATCGCGGGTAAAACAGCTAGTATTGCATGAGTGGGTACCTATTGTTGGCTGGTACTCTCATATCTATGAACAGCTCGAGGGACTTAACCTAAAATCTTGAAATATGCAGGTAGGTTCTTTGTATTGCGTAAATAAGCATCAAGAAAGGAAATCAGGGAATTTTTAACACCAAGGGAAAAAAAAACGTTTCAAAGATTGTATTGAAGTTTCGAAGTTGGAAACCTGCAGTTTTGGGTTGATAAAAAAACGAAGCAAATACGCAAACTGCACTGAGTTATGAATAGCTTCGAGGATCGAATTGTGTTACCTATAAAAAAAATCACAAAACTTGACACAACCGTCAGCGACTTCTGCCCTCACGCTTCTGCCCGCATTCGGGTGGCGTTTTCGGCGATGACGCTTGATCGCACAAACCGCTCCTCTACCTCCGCGCATCGTTTCCCGTCGTCTTACAGTAGACGCGACCGGTAATGACTTAGTGCGTTTCATCAAGTTAATCTTATCGTGATAACTTTTGAACATGGTTTGAATGATGAAGTTCATCTATATGTTTGAAACGACAATTGTATCAATTTTTATAAGAATTTGACAGATATCCTGAATTGTGCGTGAATAAAAAACCAAATTTGATTGTATTTATGGCTCAGTATTTTGCATGTAGTGGCTACCATATAAGAGGTAGATACATACTATGGCGGACTTGTATTTAGAACCGTTTGAGGTGAACAATCTTACGGTACGTAATCTTCATGTAACTCACATGGTATAGGGATCGCACGCCAAGACAGCTCTCAGAGAGCAAGAATTCTTCCGACTCATTTAATACTTATCGTTATTTTTTTTTTATTGATATTACACAAAACCTTCGTAAATTATAGCCTATTTGTTATTCTTTTGAATAGGCTCTATTTATGTAAAGTTTCATATAAATCCGTTCAGTCGTTTAGGCGTGACAGAGCCACTAACATACATACATCCATCCTCACGAACTTCCACATTTCATTCGTAGATGTCGTCATGTTCCTCATTTTTCCATATTGTTTTTTTGAAGTTCCAACCAAAATTCATTCAATCCAATGTGATACTAATAATGTCTTAATGTTTCAGAGATACATACTGTGTCTGTGGAGAGTTTCTAGAATTGTAAGTATGAGCAAATATGCATACCTCTGAAATAAAAAGATTAATGTCGATGGGAACATGTTCCGCGTGGGAAAGTATTTGTCAACAACCCAATTTCTTGTATTTCAAATCATACTCGTGCATCGTTATATAGAATATATCAAGTGATGACATTTAGTGACGCAGTTATATTTTATGAAACAAATTCTTAACTTACTTCAGTGTTCGTAACAATAGCAAAGTCATAATGAAAAATTTATTTTGAAAACTTTTTTCTATAGAATAGTCAATATATTTTTGGGAGTCTATGTCAGCTTTCCATTCTGTTTCAATATAATAACCGTTCTTCCACAATATAATGAAAATGAAAAAAAAATTGTTTAGTTTTATGGATCACGGATGTACATTTTTAATGAAACTGAACACGATACAAACAAAATTCAGTGTCCAGAAAGTTCCATTTCTAAATACTTGATATGATTACATTGTCTACCTCACAAAAAACAGGTGGCATACAATAAATAATGTTCATTATAAATAACAATAATATCTCTGGGATACAAACCAATAACTATCTTGAGTGAATTTCCAGATTTTGAGTATTAGTACAAGTACTAATTTGTTGAAGGAGAGATACTTTTTGTGGGGGAAATCAGAGTCTTTCATCGATATTTTTTATTTTTCCACCATTCACAATTCGACATATAAAAAACTCGTAGGTGTAAAAAGAACAAACTTTTCTATTCATTCCGATGTGTTTCTCACAAAGAAAAACTTCCTCCCATCAATAAGTTATATTTGATGAATTTGTCTATCAAAAAAGAGCTAAGAAACTGAATAGATTTTCATCTCAGGGTTTTGTAACCTGAAATCTGTCATCATCTTCAGAATTGGGAAAAATCTAATGAATCTAGCAATTTTTTCTTTGGTTTGTTCTATTTTCAAACGTCCTCGATAGAAGTTAGAAACACCTCTGACGTTTATTGAGGACGGAACGTTTGGAAATTGAAAGAACTGAAGAAGAATTTGTGGAAGGTGAAAAAAAAACACAAAAATGGTCTATGAAAAGCAACGAATCTGTTGTTCCGCATTCGATATGAACTGGAATTGGGTTTTTCACAAAAATGTTTGGAAGAGGTTCTTAATTCAGACACTCATCAATGTAAAAATCCCCAAATTGTGTTTCCACCAGTTCTGTTTCCACAAAATCTGTAGTATCGTTAACTCAGGTGATATTCGTCTCTGTATTTTACTGTAGCTTCCACTGCAAGGCCACTGGATGAAACCAGATTTCAAAAATGAAGCACTCGTGATCCAATACCAGCGCTGTTTCGATCCACCAGTGATACTAGGCTGGAACATGAATGCTTCGTTGAACTCAAACTGAATTTAGAGGCAGAGCCTAATATAGTATGGTAGCATCTATGGCAGATAGAAACAGCGAAGTGGGAGTTCAAGTAGTTGCCTCTCAGTAAAAGATGCAAAAAGTCGGGAGACGAATCCCGTCCGGCGGCCTATGTGAGAGATGGGATTTGCAATTGATCGCGTTTGGGACCTCAGTTTATTATTAACCAGCAACCCACCTCGGCTCCGCACGAGTACAATGCTAATACTAAATTCACATATAAACTCGTGCGATCACTGCTAATCACGAAGTGCTACAGGGCGAAGCGCGGCCTACGAAGCGCTATTTATATGCACGCGCTGCCAGTCCCTCAGCCGGAACCGCCGCAACCGCTATGTCCTTGCATTTCGAATGTGTAATATCCCCAAGAATATTCATTTGAATGACTTGCTGTGAAGGGCCATATTGATCTATTTCAAATGCACACTGTATTTAAAGTACTCGATTAGAAGAGGATTGAGGTTGTGTTGCTTAAAATCGCTTCAAAAAAAAAGGATAGAAAAAGGTTATTGTGGGTTATCTTTGAGAGATAGACATATACCACAGCGGACTTTTTTGTAGACCTTTTCAAGGTGTACAATAAGTACAATATTGTGATCTATCTCGTAGGGTTTAGCCAGCGTTTGAAATTTAGGCGCAAAAAATGTGTTTATTATTATCGGTTTGAATTATCGGTGTTCCTCTACTGTATTATGCAAGTTCTATGCATAAAAACCTTTCTCTTAAGCCACTTTATCTAAGCATACATAGGGACAGACAGCGGGAAGCAACTTTGTTTCATACTATGTAGTGATTTTCATGATAACATTCAATTAGGCATTTTGTTTGTTTGTGATACAATGTAAATTTGTTCAGAAATTGTCATAAACATTGAGTTATCCACAAATTGAATATTTTCCAGATGGACAGAAATATGAAAGTAGATCACGTGGTATTGAAAGAAGTACTACCTGAAGTGCGGCATGGAAGCTTTCCACAGGAAACCAGGGACTGTCTTGTGAACTCCAGAAATTTAGGTAACGTGTATTTGATTTGCATGCACGCTGTCAGTGCGAGAGTCGAAAATGGTTCTTTGAAATAAAAATGAATGCAATATTTTTCAAGTTATTTGCGCTAAATAATTTCATTCGATAAAATTTCTGTGATATCAATAAAATGTCACTATTCATCAGGAGTGACCACAGAAGAAGGCATAGAGGCCTGCCCTGAGGGCAGCTCTTGGTGACATCATCTTGATAAAGCCACCAGGTTCTTGTGCTAAGTCAACTGAGTTCATCTGTTTAGTGATGTTTCAAACTCAAAATCTGTTTGTATCTGATAGATAGACAACCGAAATAAAAAAACAACTTCACTCAAGTGCCTTCGTTGGAAAACTTTTGGATAATTCCGGCTCACTCAGTCTGATACGTTGCTTCACTCTGCGATTACAAATCCATTCAGAAAATGTCATAAACAAGTCTACCTTCACCATATATCAGCATAGAACAGCATTTTTTCAAAAGTCCTCTGTTTTAAATGCAATCCGTATGTACAATAAGTTACCAGAAGCGTTCAAAATATATAATATTAGTAAATTCAAACATAAAATGACTAACTTCTCATTTTACAAGCAGTGAAACTCAACAGGACAAACTCTTCAACCACTCTTCACATAACCTATCATAAAATTCACTTCTTTTTCGAACTTTTCTCATGATCATGCACTCTCCATTACCAAAATAATTTTATGCGCCAAATTATTTAACCTTTCATATCTATGTGATCTCTCTGATATGACAGCAGTCAACCATAATTTAACTAAGTGATTCATTATAATTAATCTCTTTCGGGGCGTAAGCCCCTCTGATAATTAGGTAGAATAGCCACAGCTAGACTTTGCCATCAGTCTCATTCATTATTTATCCTCAATAAAAGTCGACTCATTATTGTATAAAAAACTTCATTTCCAGATCTGAAGGAGAATTATGATAAGATATACGAATTTGAGAAATGCATGTACAAGCTGAATCCAGAAGTAAGACAATTCTTTTTTTCAATTTTATTATGTTCATAGTTATATTTTCATTATAAAAATCTGTAGTTTGATTCAATTTTATTCTATACAGCAGAAATTGGTAAATCCTGATCGAATCTAAGTTGAGTGAGTTTCATTATTCGCCGTAGTAATAACAGTTGTTTTCAGACAAAACAAAACCAATTTTCACTGTACAGGATAATCAAATAGATTAATACCCTGAAATAATGGACACATCTTTGTTATATTCAATTTTGGTGGAATTTTGAAAAAAGTCAAGACTGATGTTGAGATATTGTTGCGACCCACCCGTTTTTATGGAGGAAGTCGAAAAAGGCAAAAATGGTTCATGTTATCCTGGTAGAAAAACAAACTTCAAACACATAAAAATTAATTCAGTATTCATGTTTTTTCATGAAACGACGGCACATCAAAATTGTATTTAGGTATACATTTTTCATTTTATTTACATTCAAATATCGAACACCCTCTGCCTTCGCCATAATTTCGCTTATTTTGTCTGTATATACAGGGTGTAGTATAAATACCTTAAAATATTTAAGTGACGTATTCCTGAGACAATTTAAAAAATAAGTTAAGGGTGTTGAAATTGAACGTTTTTGCTAGTTTTCTGAAAATAACTTTTGCAAAAAATAAGTTATTTGCACGAGATTTGGTACCTCGAAATTTGTTACATCAACAGGGCGATGCGTACACTGTTTTTTGGTACTTAAGGTACTTTTCATGTAAAAACCTAATTTCCACACCTTATCCTAGTAAAGAAAGTAGTACACTTCCTCAATAACGCTGGAAGTGATCGTTTTTGTCATATTTACAATTTTCTATATCAATGCATACCACTTAGCTTCTAGGGAGCTTAGTGAAGTTGCTGAGAACATTACAAAATGAACAACTTTTCGTTCAAAATGTTTATAATTCGTTTTCGAAATACAATTTGTTGACACTTTTCGTTTTTGTCATAAGTTTTTGCTATTTCAGTTATTTTCATCAAACTTAGATGTACTCAGGTAATCACTTCCGTAATTCTCAAAACTCCAGGGGTCGTAACGATATAAAGTAACTCTTGTTCAATTGTTTCATGTTCCTCATTATAGCATTAGGAGATTGTATAATCGATTCGTTTCACTTTTCAGGAATTCATCATGTTTTGAAAGGAATAGAAGACAAGAAGAACTTGCTTGTATGCTATTGTGGAAATATATTCGATATTGAGTGTTATATTCAATAAATATTCAGCATTTAATGAAGTTGTTTGATTTTCACCGAAAAACGATAAGTTCTGTTACGTTGACCTCAATCAAGTGAATTTTAGTGTATTATAAGTTCAGTAGTAGTGTATAAATTGAGTAGTCATGAACTGAATTACATACTTTAGAAAAATCATCAAAAGTTTCAGTGTTTTATGTAAATGGATGAGGTTTTAACCTGATTATGAAACATATCAATGGTAATGAAACCTATGAAACGATTAAAACAATTATAAAATATGTAAATATATATTAACTTCATAACTTTTATTCAATCAAAAAAGTGAGTGGATTTTTTCAACAAGACTTCACTCTTGAAAACTCCCAATCCAGATATTTCTCACGTCTAATCAGAGGCGAGTTCGTGACATTATATTTTTTCGAATTACGTAGCACCTTCGATTGGCGAAGAAAAGATTTCTTTTTTTCCATTCGAACCTTCAGCAGTATTATGATGTGTGATCTCTCCAAAGCTTTTGAATGTGTTTCACACGAACTTTTAATAGAAAAACTTACATTCTATGGCATTAGAGGCACGCCGTTGAACCTGTTCAAGTCTTATTTAGAAGGTAGACAACAGTTTGTCCATCTTAACAACAGTTCTGATTCAGAACTGAAAATCATAAAACATGGAGTACCGCAAGGTTCTGTTCTTGGACCCCTGTTGTTTATCATCTACATTAATGACCTATGTTTTCACATGAGGACGAAATGTCAAATTGTCCTATTTGCGGATGATACCTCTTTCATCAGTTCAAACAGCAACATTTCACGTCTTCTTGATAATGCTGAAACCTTGATGACTAAAGCGGAAGCTTGGTTCTCTGCCAATAACCTTCGACTGAATAAAGGGAAGACACAAAACCTCATAATTTCCTGTAATAATCAGATCACGTTAGGNCGAAAAGTAGTTTTTTCGTGTTGATAATATTACTATTTTAAAAACCATCAGACATATTCGATACATATTAATAAAATAAATAAAACACATTGCAACAACCAAATTTTTGAGACAATACAAACACAAAACGACATCTTTCATGTCGTTTTATATGTTGTCACTATAGTTGATTACACCCAGTTTGTTTGAATAATATAATGGTTGAGATATCGTTCAACTTTTTCAATGGGCGCAGAAAGAAATAAAAAAATCGGAAATTGTTCCACTCACACGGGACAGTATCTGAACCACGAATCCAACCACCATCAATCGACTTAAAGAGGAATCATCAAGACCTTATTAAACCGTGCTTTCTGGCTCTGTAATATGAAGGAAGGTCTCAAAAATGAACTAAACATCATCAAAAAGTATCTTCAACGGAATGGCTACTTCAAAACGATGGTGGAACAGACTTTGACTAGAAGAGAGCAGACGCCTCGTAAGAAAGGAGAGACGTCACAAACAGCGCTTGCACTTCCCTACATCAGAGGATTATCGGGAAAGACAAGAAAAATTGGGTCCAAGTACAACAGCAAAGCTCGCTTCAGATCCGGAAACACTATCCGTAGCAGCCTCACGAAACCAGGCCACCAAACGCGGACTGCGATTCCTAGAATTGCATTCACCGGATACCCTGCGAGTGCGGAAAATCCTATATTGGTGAAACTAAGAGGCCATTGAATGTTCGCATTGCCGAGCACAAGAAACACGCACAGCGAGGGGAAACCAGCAAATAAGGAATAGCAGAGCATGTTTGGGCCCATCGAGTGGCCCCAAGCTGAGATCATATACAGAAAGGAACAATGGTTTAGGAGGAATTTCAAAGAAGCCTCATACATGTCGTCCAACAATGTTTTCAGCCAAGCTACCGTAAAAATACGCAACTTATGCAAACCCATAATCAAGCGAAAAATGGCAAGCTCTCGCCTAATGGTGATCCCCGGCTGAACCGTTGAAGCGGAAAGAGGAAAGCGAAGATATGTGAGAGTACTCGAATGACTCAAAAATAGTCATCTCTCGGAGGAATTATTACAGTCATCACCCGATGACGATTGTAGATACTGATATTGATATCGTAATGCTAAATAATACCAGGAAAAAATGGAGTAGAAGGTACAATACAAAAAATATTACAACATTCATTAACTACCTGAGAAATGAAAGTTGGAACGAAATATATGTAAATAACATGGCTGAAGATAAATTCAACATATTTGGAAGTACTTTCATGTATTAATCTTGGTTTGGATCAAATAAACTGATTTTAAATGAACAAAAAACAGAAGTTCTAACTTTTGAAACAAGAAACTCAAACCGAGCTGAAAAAACTTCAGTTGAATTTTTAGGGGTTTATATTTACACACATTTATCGTGGGTAGAACATATAAATAACATATGTACCAGGCTGAGTAGGTCAACATACGCAATTTGAGTAATTAAAAGATCTGTGAACCAGAATGCAGCCCTCACTACATATCATTCTCTTTTTCACTCAGTTCTAAGATATGGAATAATATCCTGGGGCAGTGCATCAAAATGTCATCTAGAAAAAGTGTTTATCCTGCAAAAATTCGCTGTAAGAGGTATAACTTCTGCCAGATGGGATGAAACTTGCCGTCCAATATTTAAAAATCTCAAAATAATGACACTGTACTACATATTCGACTAAATATAAATAATTATACCTATCGTACAGACATACACCATCATGAAACAAGAAATAAATCAGACATCGTCATGCAAGCAAATAGACTGAAAAGGACTGACAATATTGGCCTTAAGCTATACAATACTCTGCCACTAGACTTTCGCAATTTGTCATTCAATAGATTAAGGTACTCTCTGAAGTTTTTCTTAACTGAAAATCCTCTGTATGATATCAATGAATTTTATGGAAGTGTCTAATTGAATAGAGATGCCTTCAATGTGGACACCTAAAAAATAAGTGTGCTCCCAGTTGACTAATATGTATGTGTATTGTAATTTAAATCAAATGTTTGTACTGAACTTCTTAACGATCTTGATATTCTTGTTGATCTCAATATAATTTTTTTCATCCTTATGTAATGTAATTTGTTTTAATGGGTATATTGATTTGTTTTAATGAGTATGTCTTCGTATTTTTTTTTTCTCAATTCATGACCACCATTGATTGTGGAATCTTAAGATGTATATAGCCTGATTTTGATTGCGCCATTTGTTTTGACATGTGTATAAACCTTGTGTTTCTCAAGACAAATAAAGATATTATTATTATTATTACTAACAATTGAAACTTCGTGAAGTAATTTGGCTTGGAATCCCTCAATTTTTCTTTTCTCATTTTTCGTTTAATTGCTCTCTTTTCACTTGTATTTTATTTCACTGTAATTTCATTTTAGGTTTTTTTGCCTAATATAATTGTCATTTTCAGCAATTTTTTTTTCTTTTTTATTGGTTCAATGGAAGCCCAAACTGTTAAAATTCATGATCAATTCTGTTGTAAAACCATCATGAACCTGAAAATAACTACTATAGTTTTAATAACCATGACATTAATAGAAGTGTAGTGTAGAAAAGATAGGGAAAATGGTAAGAAAATGTATGCATTTTCACTAAATATGACAGAATTGGAAGAAATATCGTTCTAACTAGTCTGTCATTAGGAATTAATGATCAGGACTATCATTATAAATATTCAACCCATTCTTCTGTGGAAAGAATACAACACCTGCTCAGTAGCTTGAAACATGTAAGTTAATATATTTTTTCACTTCATTTTTCTGATGTTCTGATGTTTCATCTGTATAAGTTCACCCTTTTTAATTCAGCACATTTATCTCTCGAGTAAAATTTACCAGAGAATGTGTATTTATCAAATAAATATGGTATTTACGCATTTATATAAACTGTTAACAGAACACTTATGATGCACTGTTTGGAACCTTTGGTGTAGTAATGAATATTACTGGAGTTCTTTCCCAACACCAAATCGTTATTTTCAACAGCTCGACACTTGTTTCGATCACCAAGTGTCACAATATGTCTATAAGGACAACATATACGCGGCTTCCTCTTTGTGGATGATTTCAGCTTAAGCCCACTTGATGTTATGTTGATGAGTCCAAACATGCTCTGCTATTTCGGATTTGCTAGTTTCTCCTCGCTGTGTGTGTTTTTTGTGCTCAACAATGCGAACTTTCAAAGGCACTCGCAGGGTATCCGGTAAATGCAATTCTTGGAATCGCAGTCCGCGTTCGGTGGCCTGGTTTCCGTGAGGCTGCTACGGATAGTGTTCCCAGAACTGAAGCAGGTCCTGATAGTATACTTGGATCCAATTCCTTCTCATCCTTTCCGATAATCCTCTGATGTAGGGAAGTACAAGCACTGGTTGTGGCGGCTTCTCTTCCTTGTGGAGTTTTTGCTGTCTTCTAGCTAAGGCCTATTTCACCATAACTCTGGAGTAACCATTTCGTTGTAGGTCATTTTTGATGATGCATAGTTCCTTCTCGAGACCTTCTTCTGTATTACAAAGCCCAAAAGCACGGTCTATTAGAGTCTTGATGATTCCTCTCTTAGTCGATTGATGGTGGTTGGATTTCTGAATCAGATACTGTCCTATGTGAGTGGGTTTTCTATATACAGATGTTTCCCATTTAGTGTCGGTCCTCTTCGCCAATACGTCTAAGAAAGGCAATTTGTTGTGGACTTTCTCCTCCATTGTAAGAGTGATGGAAGGACTCACGTTGTTGATGTGCTTCAGGAAAGTGTCTAGTTCAGCATTCCCATGATTCCATATCATGAAGGTGTCATCTACGTATCTCAACCAGAATCGGGGCTTCTTGTGGGCTTCTTCAATGGCCAGAGTTTCAAACCACTCCATATATATCGACTTCAACAGGTGAAAGTGGCGATCCCATTGGCAGTCCCTCATCTTGCGTAAAGAATTCGTCCTTCAGTTGAGAGTAACAGTTTCGTACACAGTATCCTAGTAATTCCATGATTACTTGTATCGGTGAGTTTGTTCTATCTTCCAAGTCTCCATCTTTGGATAGCTTCTTCTGAATGATTTGAAGTGCTTCTTCGACAGGAACGTTGGCGTAGAGGCTTTCCACGTCGAAAGTAATTAGTTGATCTTGCTCTTTGACTTCGTTTTTCTCTAGTAGTTCAACAAAATACCTTGAATTTTTCACAAAAGATGATGTTTCACCTTGCAGTTGTTTAATTATTGATAGTGAAAATCTGGACAAGTTCTGAGTGGCTGAATCTCTGGAGCTAATGATCGATCTGAGCGAAACTTTTTTTTTGTGGATTTTGGATAGTCCATACAAGTGAGGGGGCTTACTGTGGTGCGATGTTACCGATGATCTCTCTTTTTCCGTAAAATAAACTCGGTGTTTTTTCAAAGTTTGGTACAACTTCCTTTCAATTGATGCAGTAGGGAATCTTATGATCTTCGTGTATTTTCCTTTCTGAAGCACCTCTTTGATCTTCAGTTCGTAGAGATTAGTATCGATCACAACAGTAGCGTTTCCCATATCTGCAGGTAAGATCTTGATGGTGTTGTCTCTACGTAGCCCGTTCAGAGCTCTTCGTTCTTCATTGCTGATGTTAGAAGTTGGAACTGGTTCTCGATCTAGCTGTTCTCTGATTTTCCATCTGAATTCTTCTGCCTTGATCTGATCAATAAGGGAACCGGTGGATTCTACTGCAGTTATTATTTCCAAAGTGGTCACAGATGTTGGTGCAATGGCGAAGATTAGACCTTTCTACAACAAAGATTTCTCTATGTCCGTGAGCGGGCGGGAACTTATGTTGATGACATTGGCGGCTTCATAATTGTCCTGTTCTCGTTCTGCATTTGAGCATTGTTTCCTTACTAACTTTCTCCACTTCCTGTTGTGGGTATTCTCCATGTCTTGTCGAATCTTCAAGCACCAAGGTCTCTCTTCTTATTTCTTCAAAATGTTCTGTGGCATCCTGCATCAGAGTTGACCTCTTCCAACGGTGTTAATCAATTTGAGACCTTATTAGTGCTCGGCTGGTGACTGATAAAGGGTTGGAACGGTATCACCTAATATTCTTACCAGGATTTGGGTGCAGGTAATCAAGTTCCATTGATGTTAACTTTTTCTTTTTATTTGTCTGAGTTGTTTCTATGTATTGAATACTTGGGTCTCTTTAACCGCGATATTTTGACTACTTCCTTTGAGTGGATGTTCCGCCACTGCACAAGCTATAATTTCCAGTTGCATCACCGCTCATAAGGCTCCCATACCGACATCAGCTTCAATGCATGTGTTACAGCAACAACAATAAAGCACCTCTGAAGCTCTCAAAAGCCTTAGAGCTCATTCGGAATGAAACTTTTTGGCTTTCTACTTCTTCAGCATTGAAACAATATGTGGGAAAATGGCAAAAAATATTCATTGTATTCATTATTTTCATTTCACAGATATTCCTTTCAAACCAGTCGGAAAAATGAATACCACCACGAAAGTTATTATGCTAGCTTTCTGCATCTACACAGTAGTTGCTTACATGGATCCTAAGGTGAGTTTTCGTTATATATGAATATTCTTGGATTCTTTCACTACAAATATATATTGAATGATACAACTAATCTTCCTTCAGTTTCAGTATTTTAATATCAATGTAAGTCACAAGAAGGATTTGAAGCTTTATAACTTCTATTTAATCATATGCGAGCGCTTTCGACAGCTGGTCGTGCTATCATCATCTAAGCTCCACTCAAACTATCCAGTTTGAGTAGAGCCTAGATGATGATTATGATGATGATGATGATGATGATGATGATGATGATGATGATGATGATGATGATGATGATGATGATGATGATGATGATGACCTAGAGCCTCTAAGAGCCACCAGTAGACAGCTGTTTCAGCATATTGGGGATCGTCAGTACCGGACAGGCGGTCCTCGATTGAGGACAAAATGTGAAAAACCAGAAAAGTACTTAATAAAAATAGCTGCGTAAACGCAAGTGAAACATAAGTGGAACCACCTATTGGTGTGACACCCAAGTCAACTTGCCAAGTTTTTATGTCAGTGTTGGTGATTTGACCAATCAACCGACAACTGCGGTAGCAGAAATTTGAGAAGCTAACCTGAAATGCCATCGAAAAACGAATCCATATGTTTCTAGAAATGATACTTTTCTGGTTTTTCACATTTTGTCTTCAATCGAGGACCGCCTGCCTGGTACTACTGACTTTGCCCAATAGGCTGAAACAGCTCTCTATCGGTGGCTCTTAGATTGAAATCAATATGGGTATGATCTTCTCATTTGTCATTATCTGGGTGTGCTGTTACGTGTTCGGAAGTCGGTTAACCCTACTCGAACCGATCCCTTCTATACTGGTAAAATGGTGTTTGTTACGTGTTCGGTAGTAGACTGTTCTTAAACGATCTGTTACCTACTATTTAACTGTTGTTGTTACTATTTCACCTGAGTTCTACTTCTTCTCAATTAACATCTTCTCCCAGTGAAGGTATGAAAATGTTCAATCTAAAGTTCTCACGGATAGGACTATGTTGAACTGGTTTCCTGGGATTTTGTGCCAGAAACCGTGTTGTTCATCTACTGATTTGAATTCCTCGCTGAACGCACGGTAGGTTCTGACTGGTCGTCTGGATGAGTGGAGGAGTGGGGGTGTTCTGTAGAGGCGCAGTTACCAGATCATTTACTACTGGTGAGAATGGTGGATGCCAGTTCCATTATGCATAATGGGTTTTTTCAATCAATGTGTATTTTTTCACAAAATGAGATTGAGATGATCACATGGAATGAGATCATGAAACATAAGAAGTTTTTTCACTTTTCGAACCAATGATTTTGATACACGATGTGAAATTAATTTTTTTCAGGATTTTGGAGATAAGCTGACCAAACTTGGCAACGAGTGTCATGATATTTGCACAGATGTAACGGGTGCAACAGAAGAAATGATTATACAGGTCAGGAATGGTAACTTTATCGATGACGAAAAAATGAAGGTATGTGGAAACATTAATTGTAAGAATTATTCAAATTTGCTTTTTTATTAACTGAGGAACTTCGCTTCATCAATAATTCTGCAAAAGATCATCATTAAAACAGTTGACTTAAATGTCTAGAGACTGTTGTTTTCTACTTCCACCATTTTGTTAGCTTTGTTACATAATGGTGAAATTTTTGAGATAATGGAATCCGCAAAGATATTCTAGAATGAACACTTCAAGGTTTTTATCAATTAGTTATATGCTTTTTATGTTTCCAGAGATACGTACTATGCCTCTGCAGAGTTTCTAGATTGGTAAGTTTTGGCACAAGATGATGAATATAACCAGAAAATATTCATCATAATTCGAAACTTTTCTGAAATTTTCAACTTCATTCCTCACACCAGAACTGTAACATTCTTCTGAAGGCATGTTTTACCAATAAAGTCAGGAAACACAACTAATGCCTAAATACTATCTTACAATACAGAAATTAGTATCACTTCAACATAGCCATCCTTTACTTCCAATTTTAGTCAGAGTTTTTTTATGAAACAACCAATGAACTTCCTCGGCATCGCACGCCTATAATATAGAGTTGAAATTTTGTCATGAAACATAGTAGTATGGTCGTTACTATTAAAATTTTATTATTGCTGCAGTTATTGTGCCAGTTGTGTGATGAATCTTTCGATTTAGCTTCAGCACACGAAAAGAAAGGCCAACTATATTTTGATATCTATTGCTAATAGGAAATCTCACTCTGCTATGTCATATTTTCTTGTGCAGCGGAGTGATAGATCATTCTCAAGTGGCTTCTTCTCAGGCGTACATAGTCGAGTCGATTGAAAAATGAAAAATGTAATATTTATTTTGGACATTCAATGTTGTATGATCAAATCAGGCACACCTGACATATTTTCAATTTTTGTTGAAAAAAAATATAACGTCATGGTTCAAGCCAATTTACTATTCTGCAACATGATTCACATACTTGCAAATTTCCTAACTATAACAGAACTGTTATTGAATTGTCTCTGTCATCAATTTTGAATGCAATCATCTCACTTTCCAGATGGATAAAGATTTGAAAATAGATATGGTGGCATTGAATGAAGTGCTTCCAGCCGGCTCGAGAAAAAACGTACCCAGTGGAGCAAGAGACTGTTTGGTCAATGCAAGAAATTCAGGTAAAACTCACTAATTTCAAAGAAATAAATTTTGTTTTTTATTATATCATATTTAGAACTCATTGTCATCTGTTTGCCTTCAATAGCTATTCATGATATGAGTGTTGAAGTGAGGTTTTATTTTGTCAGTTTCACAAACAAAATAACTCAAACTTAATTTCAACACGAATATCATACAAAGTGTTTTGTACAACTGACTTGTTCTCATAATAAAATAGATAAACTCAATATTTCTATAAAAACTCATTCTGACATCTCTTGTCAGTTAACTATTTTCATCGCAATCATCGCATTTGCTTCTTCTTCTTATTTTTCCATTAATGGCTTCAGCTGCCAGGGCTATCCAGCCAGGAGCTCCAGGATCATGTTGGTACTACAGGTGGAGCCCACACTGAAGTGGACCCAAACCACACCTGGGTTTGCGCTAAACAAAGTTCGACTGTAATTTGAAGTCAGTTAACAAGCAATGTCCGACTGCACTAGAGTGTAAGCACTAATGTGAGGTGATACACTACGGTTACGTATATGGACACTACGATCAGGTCATACGCACAAGTATTAGGTCTGTCTTGATCACTACAGCTTCATATTGGTTGCAATCAGGAATTTGGATATGGTTTGTATGTTAGATAGTGATATTCGTTTGAAAAAGATATCGTGGAAGGTAAGAGGCTGAATTGTTGAAGGAGGGATGCTGGGAGAGGTTCGCATTTGCTGTTGAGTGGCCGTGTCAGGTGACGCCAAAACGCCTGGTTACCAACAAACAGTATTGTTTACAGCTCACGCCATTTTATTTGAAGTCATATTTGAAGTTCTTGCTGGTGTTCAATTCATATAATACATTTGTAACCGAATTTAATTTTATCTACATCTATTGTTCATCATAAATCTTCCTTGAACTTTGAATAATCATAGTGTATTTCATCAATTCCGACTTCCATTGTCTAATATGATATAAATTGATTTGAAATCCCTGAAAAAAAATTAAAAAGATTAACCAAAAATAGCAATTTTATTAAACAAAAACTGAAATTACAAAGAAATAACATACAAGCTACAACCAGAAAATAAAAAATTGAAATATCAATGAAAGCTGAAAATTAAAAACTCTGGCTATTGAAGAAGCCCACAAGAAGCCTCGAGTCTGGTTGAGATACGTAAACGACACCTTCATAATATGGAACCGTGGGAATGCAGAACTAGACACTTTCCTGAAGCACATCAACAACGTAAGTCCTTCCACTACTTTCACAATGGAGAAGGAAGTCCACAACGAATTGCCTTTCTTAGACGTATTGGTGAAGAGGACCGACACTAAATGGGAAACATATATATATATCGAAAACCCACTCACTAAACCAGAAATCCAACCACCATCAATCGACTAGGAGAGGAATCATCAAGACTCTACTAGACAGTGCTTTCGAGCTCTGTAATACAAATGAAGGTCTCGAAAAGGAACTAGGCATCATCAAAAATGACCTTCAACGGAATGGTTACTCCAGAGTGATGGTAGAATAGGTTTTAGGTTGAAGACAGCAAGAGCTCCACAGGGAAGAGAAGCCGCCACAACCTGTACTTGTACTTCCGTACATCAAAGGATTATCGGAAAGGATAAGAAGGATTGGGTCCAAGTATAACATCAGGACCTGCTTCAGATCTGGGAACACTATTCGTAGTAGCCTCACAAAAACCAGGCCACCAAACGCAAACGCGGGCTCAAGCTGAAATCATCCACAAAGAAGAACACTGGTTTAGGATAAGGAAGCCGCCTATATGTTGTCCAACAATGCATTTAGACGAGCTAGCGTAGAGATACGTAACATATGGAAACCTGTTATAAAGCGAAAAACGACCAACTCCCGCCAAACGGTCATCTTCCGCTAAAACCAATGAAGCGGAAAGAGGAAAGAGGAGATAGGTGAAAGGTGAAAGCACCCAAATGACCTATAAATAGTCAGATCTCGAAGGAATAAGTCCAGTTATCACCCGAAGACCATTGTGGATACTAACAATCGAAACGTCGTGACGTAACAAGGTTACGTCACGGTCCAAGACGAGTGGTCCAAACGTTTAACCCTAATATCATTATTTTTTTCAGATTTGAAAGAAAAATATGACAAAGTCTACGAAATGGAAAAATGCTTGTATAATCTTAATCCAGATGTAAGACATTTCTTTGATTCCGTAATCGTCATAGATTTTTATTGCTGTATGTTGAGATTGCTGACCGTCGTTGATTTGATCATACTGCTGAGAAGCGTATTTACATTGTTCTCAACCATTTCTCTGGTATTTTCAACATTTCAATACTTTCTCCATTATTGTTTTCATTCATACTGATCATTTTCATGTGTTGTGTCATCATGTACGATTCTCAATATCAAAGAATAACTTTCAACATACGAACGTATTGATGATTTTTATTGAAACACTTTGAAAATTGATGTAAAATAATCACTCTTCATATTTCCACAGACAATTTTTCAAATGCTTCGGTCAGTACGAATCGCACGTTGAAAAGTGATACCTAGTTAATCCTCAGCTTGCCCAAATTTCGACTTATGAGAGTTCGTAAGGGTTAACAAAAAACAGATTTTAACAGATTCAACAGTAGAGAGCAAACTAATAAATCATGTTGTTTTCTCATACGACGGTTACCATCTCTTCTTCAGCAGTATCAACACCGTTTTACTGATTTTTACTTTATTTTACAGGAATTTATTATGTTTTAAGGAGACCAGGCCAGGCGATACGACAAATTACATAATAATCATATTGCACTGCGGACTTATGTTTATTCTCAACCATATTCACTATAAACTCTCAGCATGACGTTTGATTGTTTTATTGCTCCAAAAACTGCCTTGGAATCAATATAACCATTATAATTTAAATATTAGTGCAAGAACTATCCTTTGAACGGGTTACACGAAATAGTATCAAGTCCAATATTGTTTCTGGTTTACATTAATAGGATGAGTTGGAGGAGAATTATACTTCACAATTTATGTAACACTAACATTGTAGGTAATATCTAGCGAAAGCTATGTATGGTAATATACATTCTAACTTCGGGAAGAGAAATATTTCTTCAATTCAAAATTTCTTAAACGCCGGATTTGTCTCTCATACAATGTAAAATACTGGCGGAGAGACCAAGAGTTTATATAAACACAATTCATCAGCATGTTCTGAAAAGATGCACAGTCAGATATATTTGTCGCGTAGCTTACGATGTAAGTATGGGCATATCAATATCCCAGCATTGAAAGTATTGTCAATTCAGCGAAATAGGTTTTTTTGTGACCTTCGTCGCACGTGGGCGACTGTTACAAAGAACGGTTTGAGGAACGGGGAGGACGGAGCACCCGTAATCGCTTCCTGGCTTCCTGACAGAAGGTTCGGGGAAGTCTTGCGAGAGCCACGAAGGGGGTCGAAGGTTGAACATGTATAAGATTTTTTGGTTTTGACAAATGTCATACCTTCACATAAATGTAATTTTTCAATGGGTATGATGATTTTATAATCTTTGACTTTAAGAAAGAGTTATTGATTGATACAATTTTTATTATTATCATGTCTTATTCACACAAACAGAAGACTTTTAATTTCAACCATTTCAAGAAAAAGGCATTTAGAAATATTGTTTTCTGTATGTAAAATTTGAATACTAAATCGAAAGATAAAACTGATACCATCAAAAAGTCAAATGTGATTTATAACATTCCTTGTAACAACTGTAACTTGGATTATATTGGAACAACATCTAGAATTCTTAATTATAGAATAACTTCACATAAAAGTGGTATAAAGCTTAATAAGAAATCATGCGTATTAGCACAACATTCTATAGAAACAGGACATAAACCAAATTACTCTGATATCAAAGTTTTGCTTAATAAAAAATTATGCGCATTAGCACAAAATTCTATAGAAACGGGACATGAACCAAATTACTGTAATATCAAATTTTACAGCATGTTACAGTACAGCACAAATCAAAGACGATCTCTTCCCCGCATAAAATAAAACCTTTGAATATACAACAATCTCCACGTTCGTCTGCCTCGTCGATTTTGATGAGTTTTCAACTTTTTCAGTATCCTTGTTTTGTCCAATTAATTCATTTCATGTGTTTTTTAGATGTTAGTTGTGCCTCATGTGTTAGTAAAAAATGCTGACGACTCTATGATGAGTTCAAATTGATAAATTGAAAATATGACTACATGTAATCGGTTGTTGAATATGTAACTTAAAAGTTGGAATTTACCCTGATAGATAATTCCCAAAATGTTTTAATCAAATCACCTCTGTGTTTTTTAGGCAAAGCCAGGCACAGAAAGACCTTCTCGAAAATATATCCTTCACTAAAGGAATCGACATCGATTCAAAGCTCAGGCAATGCTACCACCTGTTGCGGGTTGAACCGCGTCTGGAATTTTGTGTTTGACGTTTCGGCTCCCATTTTGAAGATATTTTCAGAAATTGATGTGACTTGACGCCGGGTCCTCAATCTGGCTACTCCCCAGGTCTTGTGATGAGTTATCTCTAAGGTCTCAATTGGTTTGTTACAATCTACGAATTGAAATTGGCAGAATGGGTTTCTTAGTGTTCAGAATAACTCACAAACATGAACACGAACACAAAATGAAAAGTGTAAAAATGGAATGTTCCTACTTCAAACGAAAGGGAAAGTGCAAGAATATTTTTCAATTCAATTCAATTCAATTTTATTCAATTCAGATAACTGGAAATACATTTTTACATTTTGTTTAATATTTTTTTACATTCTGTTCAATATGATTCCTCCAGTGATAGTTTCAGTTAGACAACTTAATGCCTGTCTTCTGAAAGTTATCTTTGAAGGATCATATTCCTATTCTGACAATATATCGTGGAGCAGAAATAAGATTTGATACATAAAATGTGTCCGATTTACTCGTTTCATACACATCATCGGCTTTCATAATGCTTGGGTATGAGAGGAGTGGAAAATTAATAGAATAATGTTCTTGTTCAAAACAGGCGTATAGTTTATAACCTATAGGTGATTTTGTGAGGGTCAGCAAATTGGAGATTATTGTTTACTTAGGATATATTGAAAATATTGTAATTTTGAATTAAAAAATGTTTTACTTCTTTGTTGAATCTTATGGCACTTTTTAGTTCTTTTATATTATTTGGGAGAATGTTATATAATTTGGGTCCATAAAAATAAACTGATTTTTGAGTCGAAGTTTTATACAATAAGGAAACTGTAAATTGTGTATTTGTAACAACTCTTGTTGTTCGGGAATTTTGTAGTACAAATTTTTGACAATTTGTTTGGGACCACATTAAGCAACGATCTTACATTGAATATTTTTGTTTCCTTATACAAAAGATTGGTAGAGTAGTTCCTGATTTTCTTCAGAACTATTTTAAAAATTGTGTTTTGTGAATTTTGTGAATTTTTTATTGTTGAATTAAAAATGCCTCCCCAAGAAAGAATGCAGTATCTTATAACCGATTCTACCGTAGAAGTATGAAGAGTTATTGAATTTTTTTGTTCAATATACCTCGAAGAGTGTAGTGAGTGTGTTTTTGTGACGAAAGTAATATGTTTGTGCCATCTAAGGTGTTTGTCAACAATGACTCCAAGGTATTTAATAGATTCAGTTCTCTCTAGAGATGGGTATGTGCAAATTAGTGGTTCAATACATACGTGATTGTGTAACTTCAGAAGCGCTGTAGTTGGTTGACCAAATATCAAATAATCAAATCAATATCAAATATCAATAAATGTCAGATATTTATAATCCCTTTCAAAGAGGAACGAATCCATTCCAAATGTGAAATATATCAATGAGATAGATGAGATAGAGTCTTTCCCACACGATTACTGTGTGTGGAAGCTAGAATGGTATTCCATTATCCCTCCACTCGATTCTAAGAGGACCTCAACTTGCTACTAGGCACTTCAGCATTATTGGCATCCGACCTTTTTCTGGTCATTGAAATTTACAATACTTCAAATTCAACTTATATGAACCAAATTGACAGAATAGCAAAACAACTGAGACACGTTCTGCCACAACAAAATCAAAATCCCAGAACACCTATTTTTGGGACTATAACATTCATAATTCTATGAATATAATTCTCAGAAAATATTCAAAAAAACCTACAATTAAGTTTGCAGTCTCAGGAGACTGCAAACTTAATTGAACCCTTTAATTTTTTCAACCTGAGGTGATGAAAGGTGAAAGTATCTCACTAATTTGGCTGTCGTAACAATATGCTAATGTTGTTTCGGTAGATGTTGATCAAAGTATTTTCATTGATTCCATAATTCATAACTCTAACATACATATCATGAAACTTCTGCCCTTGAAGTCGATCATATGACTGTTCGTGGAAACTTCGGTTCATTTAACAATAGATAAAAAATTATATTAAACTGTAGATAAATTTTAAAATTTCCATATCTTCAAAACAGGTTTACATATCTCCGTAGGATATTTGAATTTCAATCAGAATGCTTCTCAAATAATTAAAAATAATTGGAAGTGAAAAAATATAAATATGTCATGACTAAGGAAGTGACACTATAGATCTACGAGTACTTGAGCTGAAAACATGTGAGTATATTTTAGAATAGTAATTGAGGATATTGTCTTTACTAGGAAAGTTACGAGTATAATTTTCATTTGAATATGCATATTTCACTGTACAAAAACTAAAAAAAAATGCTCAACATTTTCTTCTACAAGATGGTTGCGGCTTTCCGTGTCCCGAAAATAGATTACAGTTTCCTCATTCATCAAGATTACTTTAACATAAATAGATAAATCGAAACCCAGTGATCATCATCATCTTCATCGATTTGTAACTTCTCTACATCATCATGCTCCCAGTCATTATTTTATTCTTTGATAATGCAGTTGCTTCTCGTTTTAAAGAGAATTGTTGATTTGTCATATTCACTCTTGATGCACAGTTCGCAACCTTTGGTGTAATAATGAAAATTACTGGAGTTTTTTCCCAACACCAAACCGTTATTTCAACAACTCGACACGTAGTTTCGATGACCAAGTGATCGTCTTCAAGAGTTTTAGTGTTGGGACTGAACTAAAGTAATATTTGTCATATCCAATTGAGTAGATTTTTCTTTACTCAGTTCTTCAAGTTTCACATGCCATTCCCTCAATTTCAACTGTTTCTACTACATGTCTTCACCAGTTCAGATTCTGACATTTACACTTCAACCTGCTTCCAACATTCCACTTTAACCATTTTGTATACTACGCAGTACCTTCCTAGTAAAGACAATATCCTCAATTACTATTCTAAAATATACTCACATGTTTTCAGCTCAAGTACTCGTAGATCTATAGTGTCACTTCCTTAGTCATGACATATTTATATTTTTTCACTTCCAATTATTTTTAATTATTTCTTGAACATTTGAANACGGTACATTGGGAGACGTGAAAGTTGTTATTGTGTTTTTATTCAACGAATTTCCAGGGCCGTATTTTGAAAGGGAATTATTCACACAATTATAACTGAATATTACCGAAACATCCCGAAATATAAAATAAAATTCAATTTCTCAGTATAAAATGAACGTCTTCGACGACGTTCGACCACAAAAAAATACAGGTCCGTATTTAAAAATTCAAAGATATGAATGGCCCAAGTCAGATGACACCCTGTATAAAATATTAATGGACGTATTCTGATAGCCCAGATCAAATGCCAATGGCATAATGTGGAACGATTTTCAATATGTCTGCGAATAAAGAAGATGTAGGCAAAAAATAGTTTAGGATTTTTTTGTTTTTCCTGTATATCTCCAGAACCAGAAGAGCTAATTCGATTTTTTACATAACTGAATAGGTCTCTGAAATAAAGAACTTTGCCACAATTTAACCGACACTCTATCTCTTGTCGTTTACGAGATCCCCATGTACAGAATGTTCTCAACAATATACCCTGTAATCTCTATGCTTTTATTGATTTCTTGATCTAGTCCCAATATACTAATAATTTCAGTACCCACACAGCTGATTATAGGGCCATTAAAATTGAAGATCCAAGCAAAAATTCAATCAACTCCCAACCAATTTATCACGAAAACGAATTAAAACTTTCAATTGTAATTAAGAATTGTATTTTTTCGTTCAATCCAAACCCGACTCATCCTCACGTTTTCCTGAACTGCTGAAACTTCCTGAAAACGACCATTTTGTTTTGGTTTTGCCACTTCGTAATTATAAAGCAAATAAACCAAACATTAATTTCATAACTCCATTTTCAGAAATCACTTCGATCAGAATGGGCGCCGTGCACAAAATTTTCCTTTTGGCTTTCGTCCTTTACTCAGCGAATGGTTATCTTAAAGAAGAGGTGAGTTGATACTGATTTTGTATGGGAAATGAGAATTGAAGCTTTTTATGATTTTTACCACTATTATTTGTAACTAACGTTAGTGCAGTTTCGTCCTATAAGGACATTCCAAAGTTTGGAAGTTTGAAAATGTCTTTATGGGACGAAACTGCAATAACGTCAGTTCCAAATAAAAGTGTTAAAATACAAAGAAAGTTTCAATTTTCATTTTCCACGATGTTTTTTTTGCCACGTACTAACTCATCCATCAATTTACCTGTTTGGTAGTAGTTTGTATCATTCAATTATTGGATCTAACTATATTTGCGATACTAAGTGAAGTTGACCTTTTTTTTATATCTGTGTTATGTTATATGAATGTTATTTTCAACGAGCAATTTTAGAAAATATGTGTTACTCTTCCTTCATTTTGTTTTGTTCAAAGTCACATATACAAGATTTGGTTGGTGTCAGCTTTCTTTTCAGTTAGTAATAGAAATTATCTGTTTGGTGACTTCCAACAGAAACTGAAAACCTTTTTTTGGTGCTTGGAAACCATCTATTTTTTCTATTTCTCTCAAGTTTCTGGAGATAACTGAAGACTCATGTACCTACGTACTACATATTTCGACCAATATTTTCATGACATCCATTCCAAGAAACTATACTATTTTCGTAAAGGTCCACAGAGCTGGTTCAGGATTGAAATATTCGATGATCCGTATCTAGTCCACTCAGTTTTTCCATCGGCAGTGATTCCTGAGGATCTAATCATTCAGTAGGAGGCCAAGTCGTTCTGTTTATCAATTTTTTCAGTTCGTCTTGACATTTCCAGAACGGTTCCGAAGTCATTCTTGAATTCATCAATGCTTCTTCATGTTTAGAAATATTGAAATGAATACTTTTGTGATAATTGGGAATGTATCCACGCATGTTGGTTTGAAGATGGAGCACAAGGTTTCAAATCAACAAGTTCGATATTATACTTGTTTATACAGTGTGTAATAACGAAAACCTAACACCTATAAAAAGTAAGATTTTTGAAAAAAGCTCGGACACATCGATTTCTGATTGAAAGGGGCACCTTTCAGACTAATCAGATTTTTTGTAGTACGCACCCCTTCGTGGAGGTGCGTACTACTAATTAAAGGGGGACATCTTTCAGATTAATCAGATTTTTTGTATTACGCACCCCCTCGGAGCGGTGCGTCCCTTATTTAGATAGGGAAAGTAGGTCGAGTGGCACCTTGTTTTAAAGGTCTTTTGAATACCTTTACAACCCTGTTGNTTTGGAATTGCTCCCTGTCCATTAGGTCTGGCTTTCAAACTATAACGTGAATTTCTACATACACAATATATGTATTCCAGCTACCATTCTTTGTTTTCGATCCGTCTGTATACCAGATATTTTGACCAAAGATGTTCTCAAAATAACTATCTTCCACTCTTCACGCTTCAAGGAATTTGTGATCGAAGTGAACTCAAGCTTTATATTCATTCCTTCTCGATGACTTGTAGCTCATAGAATTTTCCAGTTTGAATTCTTGTGTAGAGTGTAGAGTTGAAAGAACCTTCAATGTAGCTGTTAGTGTGATTTCCATTACTGGCGTTATTTCTGAACAAGAAAATCTTCGCATATTGTTCAGTTTCTCAATAACAGAAGTTGCTTGGTTCATCTTTGACCACCAAAAATGAATAACTGCTCAATTACCACTAAGTATAACATATACATTAATTCCAGTTTGAGGCCCCATTTTCTACCGTACGTAGTACCCCTCCCTGGTGACAATATTCTTCCATTAATTGTGCATATGTATATCTGGAGAGTTAGGAAGTTTACACTGAGGTCAGACTGGACTACTTAGTCTAAACCTAGTGCAAAGTGATCTAGTGAAGTCCAATGTATTAAATCATAGGTACATTTCATAAAGTTCGGGGGAACAATGCCACCTCTAAGCACAAACTTTTCCTACTCGTATTCTTAGTTTTATTGGTTCACAACTGCGAATAGTTTGAAAAACAAACAAAGCTAGTTCAAACAGATCTCCTTCATATAAACCACTGATGGGTAAAATGAATCAGAAACTTGTCGTAATAATGAATTTTGCGTAGTTGTATAATAATCGATGTGAATCTAAAACCAGTACATTTTCCAAACATCAGAACTGCAATATACTATTCTCGACGCGCGATTCACTAACCGAGTTCATCTTCAACTCCTGGAGAAGCCAACTTGGTAAGTAAAACGGGCATCGAGAATAGCTTTCTTTAGAGAAAAATATCATTTTTCATTCTCACAACCCAATAAATTAACTTCACGCCTAAATCAAGAAAAATATATTTCCTTCGACATTTCACAGGTGATTGTTCGGTATTTTTTAAATTTCAGGATTTCGGTGAAGCAGCTACGAAAATAGCAATTCCGTTAAAGGAAATGTGTATGGAAATTACCGGAGCTTCCCAGGAGGTGATAGACCAGTACAAAATCGGTCACTTCGTTGAAAATGAAAAAGCTCAGGTAGGTGGTAAATTCAAAATTTCCGTGAGGAAAATAAAATGATCCCATATCATGAAACTCATTTATATACAGTGAGGTCCGAAAGAAACGTATACATTCATTTGTTACGTTATTATGAATGCAAATGAAAAATGCTGAAGCAGGTCAACTTGTATACAGGGTGGAGCATCGAAAACTTCACATGGAGGTTTCGGGTACCAATCTTGCAAATCCGAAAAAACACTCAAACAGGTCGATTTTCATTGGGAGGGGGACAGTTTTTCCCCATTTACAGCGTCGTCACTTCAACCTCTGTATACAAAAATATACTTTCTCGATGAAACTATTCAACTGTCCCTTCAACCCCCAGGAATTATAGCTACCTCACGTAAACATTATGGATGAAATGGGGTAGCGAATGAAACGGCGTTCAAACGGGTTTTCAATTAGCTATTTCTGATTTTTGGACTTGGAAACTCTAGAAAAAAGTAATGTTGTTTGATATAACCAAACCGCCATCTTGACGAATACCTGTCACGATTGACTGACTAATCTATTAGTTATCTTGTCAAAAAAGTAACAACTGTGATAAACTAATACTGAATGATCATAAAAAACATTGAAATTTCACGAGCAGATCACATTAAATACCTGGGAGTTACAATAGATCCCCATCTTAGGTGGAATGAACATATTACCCAGATATCGAAATCGCTGAGATGCATACTAGATGAATTTAAATACTTAGGATCCATCCTCGATATCAATTACCTTAAAATAATGTACTACGCCTTAGTACAATCTAGACTGCAGTTTGCTATACTGAGCTAGGGTGGTATTTTAGATATCCACCTTAAGAAAGCTGAAGTACTACAGAGAAAAATACTTAAAATCATGTACCACAAAAAAATCACTATTCTTTCTGATCAAATCTTCATTGACTCGAAGCTCAGACAAATATACATGTTCAACTCAATCTTCTAGGCAATCTTCTGGGCACTCCTCAAACTTGAGGGGTGCCTAGAAGATGACAGTACTACCAACTGTCGAAGGCGCTCGCAGATAATTAATAGAAGATATGAAGCTTCAAATCCTTTTTGTAGAATTTAATATTGAAATACTCAAAATAAAGGAAAATTAGTTGCATCAATCAAAAAAATGTCTCTTTGAAAAAGTNAAAATATGCTTACTTGAAATTTTGAATAATTTGTAATAACTTAAATTACTTATTTTTTTATTTCTCCAGTTTACTTCACGACGTTTACATTTCAATTTTTTTTTCGCAGAGATACGTACTTTGCCTATGGAGAGTGTCAGGTCTTGTGAGTATTTTTTTACAGAAACTATTTCATCTATTCTTTTTGTCTCAGTTCATCAGCCAAAAAAAATTATAATTTCAAATCTGAAGTGTACATTAGTGTTGAAGAAGTAATTAATTTTTTTTTCTAGATCTGCATTATTCAACAGAAATTTTTTACAAATAATTTTTCAAAGCTTCGTTCCAATTTTTTTTCTGTGAGTTTCTCATTAATTTTTTTCAATATGAGACATTCTGAATACTTGCTTAGTGAATATAGACAATCAATGATTTTCTTTCACTCACGTATCAACTTCATTGCATTTAATAAGATAATAACGAATTGTTCCAGATGGATAAAAATTTGAAATTGAACGAAACATTTTTGGATTCTATCTTGCCACAAAAAGAGAGGGATGCCGATTTTCCCGGTGAAGTGAAAAAATGTCATGCTGTAATAGATCAATTAGGTGAGTATCCATCTCAAGTAGGGCGAACAATGCCGTGTTATTTGTAGAACAGATGTTTTTTTCACTCCTGGCTGATCTTTTCTCAGCCTAATTTTGTAAGAGGCCAAGACCATAGCCATATTATTACCTTTCTTGTCGGAGCCTCTCATTTTCATCTATAGCGATATAAATCGTATCGAAGGTGACGTTAGAAAATCTCTTTTTTTGACGGACACACTGTTCCCACAATAATAGTAAATTGTCATTTGTAATTTTAGATTTATTTTCAGAAAAAACAATGTATTGTTACGTTTCTTCCCGTAGGTTTACCAATCATTGACTACACTTTCAATACAACAAAACATTTTAACTTAAACTTCAACTATTCTGTATCTTTTTTTTTCTGATTGATTCGGCCGTTACTTCATGAAGATCCATGGTAATTTCAAAAACTACACCTCAACGATTTGATCTCCACAAACTTTATTTGAAAAATATATTACAAAAATATATCACAACATGTTTCGCTAAGACATTAGCTTTTTTAAGTGATTTGTAAGGTACAAATCGTTGAGGTGTAGTTTTTGAAATTATTCTGAACCCGTATTTAATTCCATTACTGCGGTTGGTGTTGATACAATGTTTGCTTATCAGATTGCTCCGCGTACCGCGATTTACAAAAGTATCTGAATCTACCGAACTTTAAGTTCCATAAAAAGTATTTTCAATTGAATTAACTGAAAGAACAATCTGTTCAGACCACTTATTCCAAGAGATTTTACAAATTTTTTGAAATGTTCTTGACCGTTTCCATCTTATAAACAGACATTTGTCAATTATGAAAAATTACAGTTATTTACGGATATCTTTTTCTTATGTTACTTGTGTTATGCAGGAAGTACCAAATCATTACTAGATGTGTAACACAGATAATCATTTTTGTTGTGACATGTAATAGTTTGCTTGAGAAATATTACTGGAGTCTAGTCCGAACACCAAACCTTTATTTTTAACATCTCTACACGTATTTCGATCATCAAGAGGAAGAGCGAATCTTCAGTTTAATCTTTCTCTTGAAACACGTGTCGACATGTTAAAAATAACGGTTTGGTGTTGGGACTACACTCCAGTAATATCCATCACTACACCAGAGGTTCTAAACAGTGCATCACAAATTTGCTTGAGGTTGAATCATGTATATAAGGCTCGTTTCACAGTTCCATCATACATACATTCAAATAATTTTTGTTTCAGGTGATGAGGAGAATTATCAAAAAATTTTTGAGTTTGAAAAATGCTTGTTCAAACTGGATTCTGCTGTGAGTATATAATTTCCTTGAACTTTAAATAGAAATCGAATCAAAATCTTGAAACAATTTGTGATGGAGAACTACATTCACATAATCATTCTTACGGAACAGGTTGATTTTTAGTTCCACCGTGACATTTTTCAAACATAATATCAATACTTTCTCTTTCTCAAGGAATACTTTCAGTATCAATTTGAAATTCTAGCTCATGAGTTGATCGAAAGTCCTGTCAAGCATGTCGAATTTTACAAAAAATAACTGATACATGTAATAACCAATAATAAGGAAACGTCTTTATACACCTAGTGTAACAAAAAGTGAAACAATAAACAAAAATTATTCAGGTGAATAGACTGATTAAACAGCTTTAGTTGTTTTCAAATTCTGACCCCAAATAAAAAATTCTCATGGGTAGTGCAATAATTACGGTAGATCCTATTCTGTCAACAGTGGAACAACGTACAAAAATGAAAAGTTCTGAATGGTGTAATTGAATTTCTTAACCGAGAAATCTTCGTGAAATATCACTTAGCAAGTGGAATAATACTTAACTGTCTATCAATCTTTGGTGAACCTCTCGCTATTGCCGTGTTTGTTTCATTAAAATAAAATTTGGCAGCTGCTGTCACCAGATGCAGATTTTTCCACATCAAAATTTGGATGCTAGGCAATTCCGAAAAGGCTGAGTGTTCGTGCCGATCGCACGAAGGACGGTCTTTTTGAAATCTGGTTATTTGGTATACCTTCTTATATTCTCTCATTATGTGGTTCCAGAAATGAAATTTAATAAATCTCGGCAGATTGACTAAAAAGTCTCTAATTTGTTTTTTTTTTTGTTTTTAATTTCATCTTACTCTACTAGGATGGTATTTTTCTTAGTCCAAGAGAAAATGAAAGTCCAAGGTTTCAAACATAAAGTATAATGAGCAAAACAACAACTCCATGGACAAAATAACAAAAAAAACAACGTTTAGAGTCTTATATAAAAGGAAAATGGTAAATTCAATAAAATTAAAGAAAATAGAACAAAGGAAATGCCGCCAATTTTACCATGCTATCAACTATTAATTCAACCGGTTGAACAACTACAAACGCACCAACTCTGTACAAATACTTTTAGTTTCAATTTTACTTCAGGGAGAGTGGTGAATAACTCTAGCTCAACCTAGAACCTCTTTGCAAATAGAAAGATGGACTCCGACAAAATAATATATGGACTCTGTCTCAATATCAACTGGTTAGTAGAAATGAAAAAACACTCGCATAACGCCTCTTTGGGTGGTACATGGTCAAGTATATAGGCTCCGTTGACCCAGTGTGTCCTCAACACTAACACTTTTACTTTCAATTTCCCTGTACCTAATACCGGCTTACGATTTCACTACCGATTTTCTTTAAATTTCGCACCACGCGCTTAGATAAAATAACTCCCGTATTTAGGCCACCTTCCTCAGCCTCGATAAGCTTCCCAAGCATATGATCATCGGCAGGATGTAATTTATTCATTTGTTTAGTCTAGCCCAACTTGAACACCACAACGACGCTCGAAAGTCCGACAGTCATAAAGTAGTTCAAGCGCTTTTTCAACTGGAAAATTAGACACCTTAGAACCGGGTGATCGACCTCGATGTTTATGAACAAAATAATATATTACGTTAACCATCGCAATGGCAGTTATTACAGTAGGAAGCTTTAACAAATTATATCTGGTCTAGATTCTTGGCCTCAAAAGCTTGAAAGGTGAATAAGCTACAGGCTTCTTCTCACAAGCTTGCAAGGGAGGCTATAGTTTCATAGGACAAGGACCTTCATCGCTTTAGATTGGCTCAATCCAAGTTTTCGGTGTTATTAAAAATTGTAACATCACAGAAGGGATGACGTACGTTGTAAATAGACCTACAAACAGGTCACTGTCACCTGATTTATCAGATGAAAAGACTTGGACTGTCGGAATACATTGAGTGCGGTGTCTGTTTGTAATATTATGTTCAAAATCGCAACTCGCATCTTGCAATTTTATAATTTTCTTGAATAGATCCATATCTTTTTACTCATCACACTTCATTCTATCGATGTCATAATTTTTCAATTATATCACCAGTTTTTCAATAATTCCAGTAGTTATCTCACTAAAGTTACTGATTTTTTCAGGATTTCATTATGTTTTGATCCGGCGAGGGAGAGTTAGTTATGCAACCTACAAGATGATGGCTATGTTCAATTGTGAATTTCTCAAATAAACTTTCAGTAAATACTGGTGACTTGTTTGATTATTTCCTCAGAAGCATTTTGCTTCAAATTGTTTTCAATCAGATTGAATTACATTGTACTGAACCATAAACGGTATACAGATGTTTCCCACTTAGTGTCGGTCCTCTTCACCAAAACGTCTAAGATTGGCAATTCGTTGTGGATTTCCTTCTCCATTGTGAAAGTAATGTAAGGTCTCACGCTGTTGATGTGTTTCAGGAAGGCGTCTAGTTCAGTATAACTACTCTGAGACCTCTTTCAACCATGCTTCGAAAAGCAAATGAAATCAATGTTTTAAAAAAAATTAGATTTCAGTAACTCCTTCTCAGGTTTCAGATATGATGTTATTAATTATCAGAGGTCTGCGATGAAAAATTGTAGGATATTCAACTAGTGATTTTAACAGTATTTTGTGTGCAGATTACGGAAAAAATAGTAAAAAAATACTATCACTTATTGATAACTCACAAATTTCACCTGAAATTTTCCTATTCTTATGGGTTCGATGTTTCTGTATTATATAGCCTATATAAGTGGTAAATTGATGGAGCTTTTATGATGAACAAGTTACTACACAATGTGGGTGTATATATAAAATAAAATATAGTTTTGAATTATTTATTTCAATAACAAAACGAATCTAAACTGGGAAAATCCAGGCATGTATGTGTCAGTCTGTCTGCTCCCTCCCTAAACCTACTGTCTGGGCTGTACTTCTTCACAATGGGAACCAATATGCTTCTGTACCTGTTGGACACTCAGTCAATTTGAAAGAATGCTACGAAAATATTTAATTCGTTCTTAATTAGCTCAGCTACTCTGATCATAAATGGACCATTTGTGGAGACTTGAAAGTGATTTCAATGTTACTAGGTCAACAAAGTGGTTACACTAAGTTTCCATATTTCCTATGTCAATGTGATAGCCGTGACAGGAAACAATACTATGTCAAGCAGGTGTGGCTAATAAGAAAGGGTCTTACTCCTGAAGTTGAAAATGTGAAAAACAAAGTTTAGTGGATCCTAAAAAAATATTACTTCCACCACTCCATAACAAATTGGGGCTAATGAAACAGTTTGTGAAAACATTAGACAAAGAAGGAGTTTGTTTCAAGTATCTTTCTGAAAAGTTTCCTGGTCTATCCGATGCTAAACTAAAAGTAGGAGTCTTTGTTGGGTTTGACATTAAAAAACTTTTGAAAGATGAAAGCTTTGTCACTAGGAAATGAAAGAAAAAAAATGCCTGAAATTAATTTAAACTTGTTATAACAGAATTCTTCGGACACAAAAGACTCAAACTACAAAACTTTGGTTGCTGAATTGATACAAAACTACAAAATGTTGGGCTGCAACATGGGTTTCAAAGTCCATTTCCTTCACTCACATCTGGACTACTTTCCCGAAAATCTAGGGGCTGTAAGTGAGGAACAAGGAGAACGGTTCCATCAAGATATGAAAGAAATGGAACGCAGATACCAAGGTCGGTGGAATGTTAACATGATGGCAGACTACTGTTGGATGTTAAAAAGGGAAAATTCACAAGAACACAGCCGAAAAAGTACCAAAAGAAGNGACAGTCGACCTTCAATTTTAGAACAGGCAAACTTGCAGACCGGTTTCGGGCTCTTTAGCCACTCGTCAGTGCAAGATAGTGGCCATCATCGACCTGAAGTCAATGATATTCCATAATTGAAAATCGAAATCCTTTCAGAGTATTTCATTTCTGGTCTTTAGTTGGAGCAAACAACAAAAATGTCACTCCATTTAGTGAACGAGGTACTTAACAACTGCATATCCGAAATTTGCCCGATTCCTCTGAATAGGGAAGAAAAACTTTCTTATTGGTCAGTGGGATATGCTTGAAGACAGGCAGTAAACAAATCTAAAGAAATGAACTTTTAATGTTCAAGCCCGTCTCGGTATTAGTGGTATTAGCCAGTGGAGTAGTTGTTTCCTGATAGGCGTTAGTCCATTCAAGCTACTGTGTAGATATATCCCTTTTTCATTCAACCAATTTTCATAATTCAATGATTATTAACATTTTTCATTGATCCATATTCTCATGAAATCTCACAATATCTTCAATAATAATAATGAAAATAATTATAATAATAATTATCTTATACAGAAATCTAGAAAGAAATGAAGAGAAGCCCCACTGAAATCATTCGGATATTCTGCGTATTGATGTTGTAATTCATTATTTTCTTATTTTCTGAATCAAAAAAATTGTGCAAGTTGTTCACTTTTCACAAAGTTGCGGTACTACGAAGAATACGTAGGCATCAAAATCCAATTACTACTCTCCATCTGTAGAATAACTTCAGTGAAGAATCCTGCACCGACACCTGTCGGATATAATCCAACGCCCTTCCTGGTATTAGCCAGAGAAGTTGTTTTCTGAGAGGTGTCAGTCCATTAACCTACAGTGTAGGTCGTTGAGACTGGCTTGAACGAATTAGATAATTTGATTTATAGCTAGTATGCCCACTGACTATATGTGATTGAATATGTTCACTTCCCGTCTCATATGCATAGATTCATTGAATTTCCCAATTTTCCACACATGTCTTGAAGCAACGCTATTTTTTGAGCATCGACACGAACATTTTTAAAAGTTTTAATCAAATTATGTTGCATCTAAAGATAACAGACCATTTTTGCAGTTGAATTATTGAGTAATGTTACAATTCCAATGTTACAATTACAATGTGTTGTATTATGGAATATCCCGATATTTATAATAATAATAATGAAGGTTTCCACATTTCCCATCACAATAAACTCAAATAAAATACAAAAAACAATATTAAGAAAGGTGGGAAAAGGCCGGAGATCAGATTACCTGCTGGCAGCCTCGGTTATTATGAAAAAAATATGCTTACTTGGAATTTTGAATAATTTGTCATAACTTAAATCACTCCAGTTTACTTCACGACGTTCACATTTCAATTTTTTTTTTCGCAGAGATACGTACTTTGCCTATGGAGAGTGTCAGGTCTTGTGAGTATAACAAAAATATATCACAACATGTTTCGCTAAGACATTAGCTTTTTTAAGTGATTTGTAAGGTACAAATCGTTGAGGTGTAGTTTTTGAAATTATTCTGAACCCGTATTTAATTCCATTACTGCGGTTGGTGTTGATACAATGTTTGCTTATCAGATTGCTCCGCGTACCGCGATTTACAAAAGTATCTGAATCTACCGAACTTTAAGTTCCATAAAAAGTATTTTCAATTGAATTAACTGAAAGAACAATCTGTTCAGACCACTTATTCCAAGAGATTTTACAAATTTTTTGAAATGTTCTTGACCGTTTCCATCTTATAAACAGACATTTGTCAATTATGAAAAATTACAGTTATTTACGGATATCTTTTTCTTATGTTACTTGTGTTATGCAGGAAGTACCAAATCATTACTAGATGTGTAACACAGATAATCATTTTTGTTGTGACATGTAATAGTTTGCTTGAGAAATATTACTGGAGTCTAGTCCGAACACCAAACCTTTATTTTTAACATCTCTACACGTATTTCGATCATCAAGAGGAAGAGCGAATCTTCAGTTTAATCTTTCTCTTGAAACACGTGTCGACATGTTAAAAATAACGGTTTGGTGTTGGGACTACACTCCAGTAATATCCATCACTACACCAGAGGTTCTAAACAGTGCATCACAAATTTGCTTGAGGTTGAATCATGTATATAAGGCTCGTTTCACAGTTCCATCATACATACATTCAAATAATTTTTGTTTCAGGTGATGAGGAGAATTATCAAAAAATTTTTGAGTTTGAAAAATGCTTGTTCAAACTGGATTCTGCTGTGAGTATATAATTTCCTTGAACTTTAAATAGAAATCGAATCAAAATCTTGAAACAATTTGTGATGGAGAACTACATTCACATAATCATTCTTACGGAACAGGTTGATTTTTGGTTCCACCGTGACATTTTTCAAACATAATATCAATACTTTCTCTTTCTCAAGGAATACTTTCAGTATCAATTTGAAATTCTAGCTCATGAGTTAATCGAAAGTCCTGTCAAGCATGTCGAATTTTACAAAAAATAACTGATACATGTAATAACCAATAATAAGGAAATGTCTTTATACACCTAGTGTAACAAAAAGTGAAACAATAAACAAAAATTATTCAGGTGAATAGACTGATTAAACAGCTTTAGTTGTTTTCAAATTCTGACCCCAAATGTTCGACTGACATATTTTTTTTCGCAATCCTCACAACTTACGAGGATGGTCTTAGAAGTTTCCGGCCTCAACATGAAGATGGCAACACTCGTAAACAAAATCTGCTGAAATTCGTTGTTCATCTGTTGACAATTACTCATCAAAGTTACAGCCATTTTGGACGCCCAGTTGTTATGTTACAGATTGAGTGAGTTGATGAGAGTGTTTTTATAAAAATGGACGGCTGTCATTAAATATTTGTTTTTGAAAGGCAAAACGCCTACGCAAATCAAAGGTGAGTTGGATTCTGTGTATGGGGATTCTGCACAACCATTTGCATGGTGAATTTTTGGGCAACTGAATTCAAACGTGTCCGTGAGAGCTTGAGAGGCGATGAACATTAGGGACGTCCAAAATCTGCAAAAACCAACTGAAACATCGCCAAAGTTCACCAAATGGTGCTAGACGACCGCCGAATTGGAGTGGGAGGGATAGTAGAGGTTATGAACAGTTCAGGCTCAATATATCCCAGTTTTGGCGCCTATTCATCACTGTAGATAACAGTTGGATACACCATTATATGCATGAAGCAAAAATACAGTCCACTGCAAAGGGAAAATCTGCCCCAACAAGCAAAACTGTTTCTTTTTTGCGGAGAAAGTGATAGCGACTGGTTTTTGGGATAATCATAGGGTTATTTCAATCAATTATCTACTTAAAGGAAAAACCATTACATTACTACGCATCATTACTTGCCAAGCTGAAGGTCAAACTTACGGAAAAAATTGTCACATTCGCGGAAGAAGAATATC